AGAACCATCGTTTCAAGTGTATACGATAGCAGAACGCTTTTTGGTGCTATATATAGCACTTTTTTTAAAAAAGGTTCTATCTAGAACCATCTACAACACATCCATACAACACAATATCAATCTGAAGAACCACTTCACCATGCAAAGAACCATTAAGCATGCAAACAGCCCTAAAAGAACCCTTAGAGAACCATATTCTGTGTAACAGCCAGCTTTCTTATGACTGATGCAGTAAGAACGCAAACAAGTTCTACAAGATCAGAATCTGCCTTTCTAAGTTTCAGCTAAACTTTCTGAGGGTTTCATTTAAACTTCACACTCGGAGCTCAAACAGGCGACCGTCTGAGAAACTCCTGCGTATTTAATCTGAATAGGTTCCAGTATAATTTACCTGTTTTGCTGCGAGAATAAAGAAGAGCGCTCGCGCTGCCCGCCCTTCTGTGTTTCTGCTCGTGCCCGCGCGGGGCGCTTATTTATGTAGGCAGGACGGAAAGCGAAACTGTGCGTCACACAGAGGAAAACGAAACCTAAGGAGCAGCAGAAGAGCCGCTCAGCTGAGAGGAGTGTTTGTTTGTGAGCGGTTTCCAGAGCGACTTACACTGACTCAGCCCGGAATAACCTGCAGAGCTCTTACTGCATACATGAGAGTGTATACATCATCTCTAACTGTATAGATCATCTCTGACTGTATAGATCATCTCTAACTGTATAGATCATCTCTAACTGTATACATCATCTCTGACTGTATACATCATCTCTGACTGTATAGATCATCTCTAACTGTATAGATCATCTCTTACTGTATAGATCATCTTTAACTGTGTACATCATCTCTGACTGTATAGATCATCTTTAACTGTATAGATCATCTCTAACTGTATACATCATCTCTGACTGTATAGATCATCTCTAACTGTATAGATCATCTCTTACTGTATAGATCATCTCTCACCGTGACCATTCATCTTATAAAGCACTGTATCCAGTGAAACTGCAGCAATAAAAACACAAATTTTTCTAGCTTTCCTTTTTTAATATAGAATGCATACAACAACCAGCCACCAGGGGGTGTAATTACACATGTAATAAATCATAATCATAATGAATAATTCCTTTTTGCTTGTTTGTTAGTTATTTTTAATATTTCTTAATCTCATAGAGGAAGTCTGTGATGTTTGGCTTATATCCAGACCATCTCTTCTTATGTAAAAGAGAATGAGAAATATGAAAAAAAAGTACATATAGTGCATATGGGTAGTACCCTGATGACATCACAATTGTGCTGCCACCATTTTGGTAGCAAGTTCGTTCAGCAGCGCAGTGGCTGTTTGTAACGAGATAATAAAGTCATAAATGATCCAACAAAAGCTGTAAAACTATATGATCATCAAATATTGACACGAGGCAGAACTGTATGACACTGTCCGGCACCTGACCCTATTCTGACCCACATGCCTAACATCTGCCCGGTAATTAAATCGGCCCTAAACTATCTGCTATGGGGTTCAACAGTCCAGCAGCTCTGGTTGCTGATTACAGCTCTGCTGTGCTGCTCGTTAGCTCCTCACTGAACTTCATTAATCTCCAAGAAAAGGTTTAAAGTGTTTCCTCATCAAGGTTGGATTTACTGAGGTAAATTGATACATTTATTGAGGTAAATTGATGCACTTATTGAGGTAAATTGATACAGTTATTGAGGTAAATTGATGCACTTATTGAGGTAAATTGATGCACTTACTGCGGTAAATTGATACAGTTATTGAGGTAAATTGATGCACTTATTGAGGTAAATTGATGCACTTACTGCGGTAAATTGATACAGTTATTGAGGTAAATTGATGCACTTATTGAGGTAAATTGATGCATTCATTGAGGTAAATTGTATTTATTGAGGTAAATTGATGCACTTATTGAGGTAAATTGATACAGTTATTGAGGTAAATTGATGCACTTATTGAGGTAAATTGATGCATTCATTGAGGTAAATTGATGCACTTATTGAGGTAAATTGATGCATTCATTGAGGTAAATTGTATTTATTGAGGTAAATTGATGCACTTATCAAGGTAAATTGATGCACTTATCGAGGTAAATTGATGCACTTATCAAGGTAAATTGATGCACTTATCAAGGTAAATTGATGCACTTACTGCGGTAAATTGATGCATTTATTGAGGTAAGTTGATGCATTCATTGAGGTAAATTGATGCACTTATTGAGGTAAATTGATGCATTCATTGAGGTAAATTGTATTTATTGAGGTAAATTGATGCACTTATCAAGGTAAATTGATGCACTTATCAAGGTAAATTGATGCACTTATTGAGGTAAATTGATGCACTTATCAAGGTAAATTGATGCACTTATTGAGGTAAATTGATGCACTTACTGAGGTACATTGATGCATTTATTGAGGTAAATTGATGCACTTATCAAGGTAAATTGATGCATTTATTGAGGTAAGTTGATGCATTCATTGAGGTAAATTGATGCACTTACTGAGGTAAATTGATGCATTCATTGAGGTAAATTGTATTTATTGAGGTAAATTGATGCACTTATCAAGGTAAATTGATGCACTTATTGAGGTAAATTGATGCACTTATTGAGGTAAATTGATGCACTTATCAAGGTAAATTGATGCACTTATTGAGGTAAATTGATGCACTTATTGAGGTAAGTTGATGCATTTATTGAGGTAAATTAATGCATTTATTAAGGTTAATTGATGGATTTATTGAGGTAAATTGATGCACTTATCAAGGTAAATTGATGCACTTATTGAGGTAAATTGATGCACTTATCAAGGTAAATTGATGCACTTATTGAGGTAAATTGATGCACTTATTGAGGTAAATTGATGCACTTATTGAGGTAAGTTGATGCATTTATTGAGGTAAATTAATGCATTTATTAAGGTTAATTGATGGATTTATTGAGGTAAATTGATGCACTTATCAAGGTAAATTGATGCACTTATTGAGGTAAATTGATGCACTTATCAAGGTAAATTGATGCACTTATTGAGGTAAATTGATGCACTTATTGAGGTAAATTGATGCACTTATCAAGGTAAATTGATGCACTTATTGAGGTAAATTGATGCACTTATTGAGGTAAGTTGATGCACTTATTGAGGTAAATTGATGCACTTATTGAGGTAAGTTGATGCATTTATTGAGGTAAATTAATGCATTTATTGAGGTAAATTGATGCATTTATTGAGGTAAATTGATGCATTTATTGAGGTAAATTGATGCACTTATCAAGGTAAATTGATGCACTTATTGAGGTAAATTGATGCACTTATCAAGGTAAATTGATGCACCTATTGAGGTAAATTGATGCACTTATTGAGGTAAGTTGATGCATTTATTGAGGTAAATTAATGCATTTATTGAGGTAAATTGATGCATTTATTGAGGTAAATTGATGCACTTCTTGAGGTAAATTGATGCACTTATTGAGGTAAATTAACACATTGAGGTAAATTGATGTATTTATTGAGGTAAATTGATGCATTTATTGAGGTAAATTGATGCATTTATTGAGGTAAATTGATGCACTTATTGAGGTAAATTAACACATTTATTGAGGTAAATTGATGTATTTATTGAGGTAAATTGATGCATTTATTGAGGTAAATTATGCATTTATTGAGGTAAATTGATGCATTTATTGAGGTAAATTATGCATTTATTGAGGTAAATTGATGCACTTATTGAGGTAAATTGATGCATTTATTGAGGTAAATTGATGCACTTACTGAGGTAAGACACCTCAGCTTGACTGCAGCGTTAAGCTGGAACCGAGAAGCTGGTGAATAAGAAGCTACTTCAGCTGTTTATGTTTGTTACTAAAGAGCTGTGGCTGCTTTGGTCACCACTTCTGTAAAATCTCACATTTCGGAATGTCCTGAGCTCTGGAGATGTGCAGGTTATACAGATTCAGTCCACCAATCTAGGCAGAAGTTTAGGCCTCCTAAGAAAGGTCAGCACCAGATCTTTGTAGAGTTCATGAGAGACAAAGAAGCTACGCTGAATAAAGGAGTTAATTTTGTCAGAGGAATTCAGGAGCTGTTCACCAGATGGTGTTGAAGTCTAATTGAATGAGAGAAAACTCTGAAGCTGCTGTGCTGGGTGATGACTTTGTTCAAGCAGGTTGATGTAGAGCTCATTGTCCATTTTATCAGCTCCACTTACTATATAGGTGCACTTTGTAGTTCTACAGTTACAGACTGTAGTCCATCTGTTTCTCTGATACTTTGTTAGCCCCCTTTTACCCTGTTCTTCAGTGGTCAGGGCCCCCATGGACCCTCACAGAGCAGGTACTATTTGGGTAGTGGATCATTCTCAGCACTGCAGTAACACTGACGTGGTGGTGGTGTGTTAGTGTGTGTTGTGCTGGTCTGAGTGGATCAGACACAGCAGTGCTGCTGGAGTTTTTAAACACCTCAGTGTCACTGCTGGACTGAGAATAGTCCACCAACCAAAAATATCCAGCCAACAGCGTCCTGTGGGCAGCGTCCTGTGACCACTGATGAAGGACTAGAGGATGACCAACACAAACTGTGCAGCAGCAGATGAGCTATCGTCTCTGACTTTACATCTACAAGGTGGACTGACAAGGTAACAGAGTGGACAGTGAGGGGACACAGTGTTTCGCAGTACGTGTTTCTTTCCTCTTTATAGCAGTAAGCGGTTCTCCGAGGCCACATTTACTCTCGCGCACCAATCACTGGGGAAAATAAACATGCTTTTATTTTGGTAAGATTTTCATTTTCCAAATGCAGGCCAGTCACAGTGTCCCTGTTGCGTATGTTGCGTATTTTTGTTTCCTTTTTCATCAAAGCAGTAAAAATATTTAGATTTTTATTTCAATTGTGGGTTCAAATATTAACACAGTGGACAATTTTAGATAAAATATTAAATTTTATTGTTTTTTTTTTTAAAGGTATGAAACACATTTCAAAGTATTTCAAATACATATTCCTATGACAGTTTATTAATGCACGACAGATTTTATTGCACAGTATTCAAAAACATTCAGTAAAATACTGAAACTTTTAAAGTTATAGTTTTATGTACAAACAAACCCTGGAATCTTTTTTTAGCTTAACTCCATTATTAAAATCCCATTAAAAATCCATGCAGTTCAGTAGAAAAAGTCCATTCTACAATAAAGAAACGTTAAAATCAGAGCGACAGTGATGAGCTGGGAACATCAACAGTATTTTCATACGGTTGAGCAAGAAAAGGAGAGGAGTGTAAATATTGAAGTGAGCCGTCTGAATCATTTAAGCTGGTACACACCAAAACAAACAGACAGACAAAAGAGTTCACAGCCATCTGCCTGGTCAGTGAGTCAGCGAATGACCACGCAGGTTTACATCGCAGACCTTTTATATGAAAACGTGGTTTTAAATGTTTGACTATGTAGCCGATTAACTGAGGCCTAAGAATAACAAGCTGCCCAATATTTACAGAATGGCTGCATATTCTTATTCTTATTGCTAGACTGTGGAAAATGAAGGGAAGCCAATCAAAAAAAACTGCAATATAGATGAAACACTTTCACATTCGTGGAAATATTAAGTGTGACTTGGTCGATAAAGCACACCGTGACAGGAAATGACCTCATTACACAAAGCTTTTACATCACTGTAAGAATTTAAAGAAACGAACTACAACAAAATTTTAGTTTTCTTGCTTGTAACCTGCACAGGAAGTCGACGTAAAACCTAGTTATTGAATCACCCAGTGAATCAATTACTTGTTCAATGAATCAGTGAATCGCTCAGTTAGGAATACTGATTGTTCTTGGACTGCTGATTCAATCAAATGTCCTTTATTCCCAGCAGGAGCGCTCAGATTTCTTGGCTTTTGGATCCCTTTTGCTGGTCCTGCTCTTGGCCTTGTGTCTCGTGCGGACCAAGCATTTTTGTTCAGAAATCTCGTCGTCTTGGTTGTCAGCCTTGCCCTTCTTCCCTGTGCGTGGATCTTCCTCATCGTCCTCATAGATGAGATACATGCTTATGTCGTCCGTGAGCTCCCGACGCGCTGGACGCTCGCTCGGCTGGGCCCGTTTCACTTTGGCCCTCATCCTCCTGACCAAGTCTTCGTCCAGCTCGCGCTCCACGGCCTCCCTCAGCGTTTGGTAGAGATGCAAGGCGTGAGGAGCTCCGGCCAGCAGGGATTCAGGAGTGATGCCTCTGCTCATCTCAGTGATCACATGGTGCAGGAAAAGGCCACTGTACAACCTTCACAGCAAAAACAAGAGAGGATTTCATAAATATCCCAGTGTAAAATAAGTGAACACCCTCAGTGCCCCAGTACAAAAATCAAAGGAAGCCCTTAACACCTCAAATCTAAAAATTAGAGAACATCTTTGATACCCTGAATGCCTTCAACACCCTGAATACAAAAATTAGATGACACCCTTGATACTCTGAATATAAAAATTAGTGTATGCCCTCAATACCCTGACTACAAAAATTAGATGACACCCTCGAGACCCTGACTACAAAAACTAGGACACCCTAGATACCCAAATACAAAACTTAGAGGACACCTTCGATACCTGGACTACAAATATTAGGACATCAGAATGGGCAGTATGGCAAAAATGTAGCATCAAGATACTTGAATAGATCTTTACGTTGCTCAGCGTATTAAGACCTTTTAGCTTTTCTTAAAGCTGAACTGTTTGAATGAGAATAGGTGTGCTACAGCAGGAGAAACTCCAGAATATGTAGGACAGGGACCCAGCAGGATCAGGCTTGACTAACAGAGCAGTGGTGATTATTCAGCTCTGATGGTGTGGAAGGTGGAGGTGGTGTTTACCGTGCGTATTCTGGTTCAGGCACTGGATTGTTCAGCAGCTGGTTGAGGCAGATACTGTCCCTCAGACTGCCCTGCCACTGACTGTAAGCGTGAGCTGCCTCCAGGTCCAGAGGAGTCTCCTCTTTACAGCTTTTCAGGTTCCTCAGCCTTTTTGGCAGCTCTGCAAAGCAGGAAGGGAAAATGGTATGAGTGAAATTCAACCAGAGAAGGTTCATTAGCTCTGATAGATTCTCCACAACATGCACATAATAAACAGCATCTTCTCACATTTCATTTGCTTATTTCTGCCTCGTAGCTCATTGAAACAAGCAGAGAAATTGTGTGGAAAGTGCTGATAGTAAACTTTGAATCCAGATCACATTTGTGTTTAAGTACAAAAGGTGATATTTTATCATGATCATGAATTTTATTGTAGTTTTATTTCTGCCTTTACATTTTTGCTGTGTTTTGTAATTTTTTGGCAGGAGAAAAATCAGGATTTTAGACTCAATCCTGTCAATAAAGAAAGTGAATTGAACGTAGTTGAAGTTCATTCCATAACCAGCACATTGTAGCTGTTGGAACAAAACATCGAATCTCAATTTTTGCCTTTTTTAATTTTTTTGACATAATTTGAAAATACCAGCTGCTCTTTACATGGCGTGAAAAAACATCACAATAAATGAACCAACAGAAATGGTTCGTTCCACTGTACAGTTATCACTTTGGACATACTTTTTTCTTTGGATAGGCTGGAGATTCCAGGTTTGAATTAAAATATGGAAAAAAAAAAAAAACTTTTCCATAAAACCGTTCCGATCCCGTTACTATAAGCAAGCTAATTGTTGCTTGTTTGGTTTGGCCAAAATTAACATTTAAACAGTTTTCTACTTGTATGTTTACACAGTGCTAATTGGTGGGATGGAAGCTTCTATCACTGGTTAGCTACATGAGCCTCGCAGCTCCAATAAAAAAGCAAACTTCAGGAACTAAACACATCTTGGCTGGTCAACAACAGGATGAGGGGAATTTTCTGCTGAGCTGCCCAGATAGCAAGAGGTCAGTGGGCCACTGTAGGTCCTGATAGCAAATCTGGCGGTCAACTGGCATTTTGCTCAGTGTTTTCCAGGCAGCCCACAGGAGTTTAAGCAGAGTATTAGACAGAATGAACATATATATATATATATATATTTATATATATATATACACTATCTGGGTACAACTGTAATCTCCTTATATAATACCTTGGCTGTGATTTATTAAAGCCAGAGAAGCTGTATATTCACCTTTCTCTGTAAGTGGATCTCTGGACAGCTCTCCGTACACCAGGCCGACCAGCAAGGCCCAGAAGAATTCTGGTCTGGGCTCAGGCTCTGCGCGCTTCAGCCAGTAGCATGTGACGTACACGGCCAGCTGGAGGTTTGCAGGCACGAGGAGCTCGTCAGGAGCCTGAGACACACACAAAGCGTCCAAGAAGACCTCAAGCCTCAGATTCTGTGGCGTCTAGAAGATAAAAGAGCAGATTTACAGTGACTTTACAGAGTTATTAGAGTTTGGAGGAGGTCAAACAGCAAACATTGTCATATTAGTTATAGTCCTATCATGCGTTTACTTAGAGGGCCCACATTCTGTATGTTTGAATGGTGACCATTATCCACATTGATCCTTCAGCTTCCCGACAGCCAGAAACAGCACAACATTTAATCGTTTTCCCACTTCCACTCTAACAACTCTGAACATCGCTCCACAGTGCTTCAACAGGAAGCGCTGTGCTGTAGGCTGAAAGGGTGGGGCTAAACTGCTGTAGGCTGAAGGGGTGGGAGCTAAACTGCTGTAGGCTGAATGGGTGGGGCTAAACTGCTGTAGGCTGAATGGGTGGGGCAAAACTGCTGTAGCCTCAAAGGGCGGAGCTCAACTGCTGTAGGCTGAATGGGTGTGGCTAAACTGCTGTAGGCTGAATGGGTGGGGCTAAACTGCTGTAGGCTGAATGGGTGGGGCTAAACTGCTGTACACTGAATGGGCGAATTCAAAACGGGCTGTTTTACAGATTAGTTTCCGTATATGGAAAGTACACGTTAACAATGTTTACATTCTGTATGTATTACTATTACTATTAATTACAATTTAAAAAAAAATATGCTAGGAGATTCTGCATTACCTCCCACAGTGTGTCCAGCTGAAGGTTTGTCAGGATGGCTGGAACCGTGGAGCTGGTTAGCGTCAGCCCCTGCCTGTCATACTCCTCTACCTCGTACTGCTCTTCTTCTGCGGTGGCCTGCAGCATTAAGCCGTAAATGACCTGCCGTATGGGCCTGGAGGTCAGGTTGTTGCTGCAGAGGCTAAAATCCTGGACTGAAAAGTTGAGAGTGACCCTATGCAGCGTGAGGACATCAAGAAGGATGGAGTTGAGCTTCCCCTCGCCCAGGGCCTTCAGGAACCACTCCGGCAGGCTCTGTAAAGGTCTTGGGAGCTTGCTCTGTGGTTCTCCCCTCTTGAAGAACTGAGCTATGGAGCTGGGAGTCAGGCGGTACTCCTGCAGGCCCTGCTTGAGAACTTTGAGGACCGTGGCTGAATCCCTCGGGTTCGTAATGGTGCTCCGAAGGGCTTTAATGGCGTCTTTGGGGCACTTATGGCGCGACAGCCACCTGAGCAAGCCATCGATATTGCGGTTTCCTCCAGGAGTAAGTGAGAACTTTGTCCAGTTTGGAAACAGTGTTTTGTCCAGGTGGGCGTAGTCGTTGCCCAAGATGGTGGCGAAAATAGGGAGAAGCTGCTTGTTCATGCAGTTTAAGGTGCTGCACAGGTTGCTGACGGAATACCAACTGGCTGGAATGTACTTTTTGTCTGACTGTCTGATTGACTTCACTTTCCTCCAGTGGAAGTCAGAAAGGGGTAAAAACCCTCCCTTGATGTCGAATATGTAGAAATCAGAGTCGTTGGACAGAACCGGACAGTTCCACTCATTAGCCAGAGCTGCGACCTCCCAGTCGGCCTCGGCGACGCACTGGATAAGTGGCACCTTGAGCTTCCTGAGGACCTGCTTGAAGACGTTCTTGATGAGGATCGGAAGGGCTTCTCCTCGTCGTCCTTTGGACAAGGCGTCGGTCCTCTTGATCCTGTCTTCGGCTCTTTTCTTCAGGGTGTCGAACTTCTTATTGCTGATGTCGTCCCCTCCGTCCAGCACGACGTAAGGCTTGATTTTGCAGATTCTGAGGTTTGCGAAGAAGCGACTGACCACTTTCTCAAAGCCTTCATATTCTCCTCCGTGCGCTTGATCCAGGTGAGACTGGAAGTAGAGGCTGTAGTACAGATTGGATCCATCGATGACGAGCCTGCTGTTCCTGAAGTTTCGCCTCTTCAGGACGTCGCTGTTGCCCTCCATGTAGGTCTTGAGTCCTTGGACTCCCATGGCGCCCACCTTCTAGACTTTTAGTCTCAGACAACAAAATATAGACCTATAAATGAGAAGATTCATTTACACTGACAATCCAGTATGAATGATGCAGCTTTTAAACTTTTTTAAAACCGTAAAACATTAATTTAAATGAACAATTTATTCTCTAAACATTACAAGTCCAGTGAACTTAAATTTTAAGTTAAACTGGTTACTTTTTAAGTTTAAAAGAGTGACACTTGGTTGATGGTTCTTTAGTAAAGGCAGCGGTTCTATATAGAATCATGAGTTCTATATAGAACCATTTACATGCTTAAATGGTTCTTTATACCACTGTATAGCACCAAAAAGGGTTCTGCTATTGTATACCCTCTTAAAAATTATAGTTTGCATGCTTAAAGGGTTCTTTGCATGGTGAAATGGTTCTTCAGATTGATGGAGAATGTAAGTTATTCTATATAGCACCAAAAAGGTTTCTGCTACTGTCACACACTTTTATACACTTAAAAAAATGGTTTTCAAGGGTTCTTTAGTAAAGAAAATGGTTATAAATAGAACCATAAACACTCAAAGAACCTTTGCATGATCAGATTGACAGAGAAAGTGCTGTCGATGGTTCTATATAGAACCTTTTTGAAAATGGTTCTATAAAGCAACTTCTGTTGTAACAAGCTTGTATTGTAACAATAGCAGAACCCTTTTTGGTGCTATATAGAACCCTTTTCAAAAAAAATACAACACATTCTCCATCTATCTAAAGAACGATTTAAGCATGCAAAAGGTCCTAATTAGAACTATTGCCTTTACTAAAGAACGAGTAAAGAACCATCGTTTCAAGTGTATACGATAGCAGAACGCTTTTTGGTGCTATATATAGCACTTTTTTTAAAAAAGGTTCTATCTAGAACCATCTACAACACATCCATACAACACAATATCAATCTGAAGAACCACTTCACCATGCAAAGAACCATTAAGCATGCAAACAGCCCTAAAAGAACCCTTAGAGAACCATATTCTGTGTAACAGCCAGCTTTCTTATGACTGATGCAGTAAGAACGCAAACAAGTTCTACAAGATCAGAATCTGCCTTTCTAAGTTTCAGCTAAACTTTCTGAGGGTTTCATTTAAACTTCACACTCGGAGCTCAAACAGGCGCCCGTCTGAGAAACTCCTGCGTATTTAATCTGAATAGGTTCCAGTATAATTTACCTGTTTTGCTGCGAGAATAAAGAAGAGCGCTCGCGCTGCCCGCGCTTCTGTGTTTCTGCTCGTGCCCGCGCGGGGCGCTTATTTATGTAGGCAGGACGGAAAGCGAAACTGTGCGTCACACAGAGGAAAACGAAACCTAAGGAGCAGCAGAAGAGCCGCTCAGCTGAGAGGAGTGTTTGTTTGTGAGCGGTTTCCAGAGCGACTTACACTGACTCAGCCCGGAATAACCTGCAGAGCTCTTACTGCATACATGAGAGTGTATACATCATCTCTAACTGTATAGATCATCTCTGACTGTATAGATCATCTTTAACTGTATACATCATCTCTTACTGTATACATCATCTCTGACTGTATAGATCATCTCTAACTGTATAGATCCTCTCTTACTGTATAGATCCTCTCTTACTGTATAGATCATCTTTAACTGTACAGATTATCTCTTACTGTATAAATCATCTCTAACTGTATAGATCATCTTTAACTGTATAGATCATCTCTTACTGTATACATCATCTCTAACTGTATAGATCCTCTCTTACTGTGTAGATCCTCTCTTACTGTATAGATCATCTCTAACTGTATAGATCCTCTCTTACTGTATAGATCATCTTTAACTGTACAGATTATCTCTTACTGTATAGATCATCTCTAACTGTATAGATCATCTTTAACTGTATAGATCATCTCTAACTGTATACATCATCTCTAACTGTATAGATCCTCTCTTACTGTATAGATCATCTTTAACTGTACAGATTATCTCTAACTGTATAGATCATCTCTAACTGTATAGATCATCTCTTACTGTATACATCATCTCTAACTGTATACATCATCTCTAACTGTATAGATCATCTCTAACTGTATACATCCTCTCTTACTGTATAGATCATCTTTAACTGTATAGATCATCTCTTACTGTATACATCATCTCTAACTGTATACATCATCTCTAACTGTATAGATAATCTCTTACTGTATAGATCATCTCTAACTGTATAGATCATCTTTAACTGTATAGATCATCTCTAACTGTATAGATCCTCTCTTACTGTATAGATTCTCTCATACTATATATTCTCTTACTGTATAGATCAGTGTTTATGCTGCAATAAGCCTGGCTTATTGCTTTTATAAAATGGTGGCCAACATAAAATATGATAAAATACACACTTTTTCAGTAAAAAATAATTAAAGTTATTATTAATAATAATCGACCTAAGTATTCCGCCAAGAAATGTAGTTCCTTCAGAGTACAGTATCATTGCCAAGCAACTATGAACCACTGAATGAAGAGAACGTTTGGCTGTCCATCGCTGTACGTTGCGGCCATTTCATGAACTTTTTAACTTTTTTGTTGTAGAGCAGTGAACATATGATAACACAGCGCTGTTTAATACAACAACTTTCACTTTATTAGTATTTTTTGGTCACCAAATTTCCACCGCGAGTCTTATTTAGCACCAATCCAGCCCCTCTTCTCACACTGGGGCTGAATCTCAAACGGCTCCCTGCTCCCTACATAGTGCACTACATAGGAGTTTAAATACTGGATCCTGCAGCCCAACAGAGCAAAATACAGCTAAGAAACAGTCATTTGGGACTCAGACTCGTCCACACTCGATAAGTGATGCACTGTTTGGCTGTAGAGGCTAGAATTTCTAAACTTTCATAGCTAGAACACTATTTAGGGAGTACAGAGCCGTTTGGGATTCAGTCTGGGATTGAGTGACCTCTGACTGAAACACGGACATTTGAAGTGTGTAAAACATTCAAGTGACATTTTTAGACTTTGATTCTACTGTTTTACAGTAAATCATATCGTAAATACTTTAATTCAAGCCTGTGATATTAATGATGGAGCTGTTTAGGCTGTTGGCTCTTTTAGCCTGTTAGCTAGCTGACCAGCCTGGTTCTAGTTAAGAACATAAGCTGTCAGCCCCTCAGTTTAAACAAAAAATGGGTTCTTACTTAATCAGTACACTTGGTGCACCATGTGATATGGCTTTTTTGTGCGGTGGCGCAGTGATACGTAATTCAGTCACTGTGAGGTGGTCATCGGTGCGCCTATATGTGGATTTTACAATGGCTTCAAATGCGGCTCAGCCAATCAGATTTTAGCACCATGACCATTTGTTTTATAAAGCACTGTATCCAGTGAAACTGCAGCAATAAAAACACAAATTTTTCTAGCTTTCCTTTTTTAATATAGAATGCCTACAACAACCAGCCACCAGGGGGTGTAATTACACATGTAATAAATCATAATCATAATGAATAATTCCTTTTCGCTTGTTTGTTAGTTATTTTTAATATTTCTTAATCTCATAGAGGAAGTCTGTGATGTTTGGCTTATATCCAGACCATCTCTTCTTATGTAAAAGAGAATGAGAAATATGAAAAAAAAGTACATATAGTGCATATGGGTAGTACCCTGATGACATCACAATTGTGCTGCCACCATTTTGGTAGCAAGTTCGTTCAGCAGCGCAGTGGCTGTTTGTAACGAGAAAAAATAAAGTCATAAATGATCCAACAAAAGCTGTAAAACTATATGATCATCAAATATTGACACGAGGCAGAACTGTATGACACTGTCCGGCACCTGACCCTGTTCTGACCCACATGCCTAACATCTGCCCGGTAATTAAATCGGCCCTAAACTGTCTGCTATGGGGTTCAACAGTCCAGCAGCTCTGGTTGCTGATTACAGCTCTGCTGTGCTGCTCGTTAGCTCCTCACTAAACTTCATTAATCTCCAAGAAAAGGTTTAAAGTGTTTCCTCATTAAGGTTGGATTTACTGAGGTAAATTGATACATTTATTGAGGTAAATTGATGCACTTAATTAGGCACCTCAGTGTAACTGCAGCACCATTTAATGTGGAACCGAAAATTCAGATGAGAAGCTGGTGAATAAGAAGCTACTTCAGCTGTTTATGTTTGTTACTAAAGAGCTGTGGCTGCTTTGGTCACCACTTCTGTAAAATCTCACATTTCGAAATGTCCTGAGCTCTGGAGATGTGCAGGTTATACAGATTCAGTCCACCAATCTAGGCAGAAGTTTAGGCCTCCTAAGAAAGGTCAGCACCAGATCTTTGTAGAGTTCATGAGAGACAAAGAAGCTACGCTGAATAAAGGAGTTAATTTTGTCAGAGGAATTCAGGAGCTGTTCACCAGATGGTGTTGAAGTCTAATTGAATGAGAGAAAACTCTGAAGCTGCTGTGCTGGGTGATGACTTTGTTCAAGCAGGTTGATGTAGAGCTCATTGTCCATTTTATCAGCTCCACTTACTATATAGGTGCACTTTGTAGTTCTACAGTTACAGACTGACGTGGTGGTGGTGTGTTAGTGTGTGTTGTGCTGGTCTGAGTGGATCAGACACAGCAGTGCTGCTGGAGTTTTTAAACACCTCAGTGTCACTGCTGGACTGAGAATAGTCCACCAACCAAAAATATCCAGCCAACAGCGTCCTGTGGGCAGCGTCCTGTGACCACTGATGAAGGACTAGAGGATGACCAACACAAACTGTGCAGCAGCAGATGAGCTATCGTCTCTGACTTTACATCTACAAGGTGGACTGACAAGGTAACAGAGTGGACAGTGAGTGGACACAGTGTTTCGCAGTATGTGTTTCTTTCCTCTTTATAGCAGTAAGCGGTTCTCCGAGGCCACATTTACTCTCGCGCACCAATCACTGGGGAAAATAAACATGCTTTTATTAAGATTTTCATTTTCCAAATGCAGGCCAGTCACAGTGTCCCTGTTATGGAAATATCGAATGAGGGGTGATGGAAGGGTTTGGGTTTTTGATTATTATTTTTTTTAATGCTTTTTAATTTATTTTGTGTTATGCACAACAGAAGTCGGAAATCTCGTTGCTATTTCAGAATACAGTTGTACATTAAAATTTCTACAGATCTTTAAGAACAGTTGCGTATGTTGTGTATTTTTGTTTCCTTTTTCCATCAAAGCAGTAAAAATATTTAGATTTTAATTTGAATTGTGGGTTCAAATATTAACACAGTGGACAATTTTAGATAAAATATTAAATTTTATTGTTTTTTTTTAAAGGTGTGAAGCACATTTCAAAGTATTTCAAATACATATTCCTATGACAGCTTATTAATGCATGACAGATTTTATTGCACTGTATTCAAAAACATTCAGTAAAATACTGAAAAACCCATTAAAATCCATGCAGTTCAGTAGAAAAAGTCCATTCTACAATAAAAGAAACGTTAAAATCAGAGCGACAGTGATGAGCTGGGAACATCAACAGTATTTTCATACGGTTGAGCAAGAAAAGGAGAGGAGTGTAAATATTGAAGTGAGCCGTCTGAATCATTTAAGCTGGTACACACCAAAACAAACAGACAGACAAAAGAGTTCACAGCCGTCTGCCTGGTCAGTGAGTCAGCGAATGACCACGCAGGTTTACATCGCAGACCTTTTATATGAAAACTGTGGTTTTAAATGTTTGACTATGTAGCCGATTAACTGAGGCCTAAGAATAACAAGCTGCCCAATATTTACAGAGTGGCTGCATATTCTTATTCTTATTGCTAGACTGTGGAAAATTAAGGGACGTGGAAATAATAAGTGTGACTTGGTCGATAAAGCAAAACGTGGCAGGAAATGACCTCATTACACAAAGCTCTTCCATCGCTATAAGAATTTAAAGAAATTTAGGAAATTTGCAAGAAATGTTCAGCACTTTTTTGTTTTCTTGCTTGTAACCTGCACTTAAAGCAGATGGAAACATAGTTAGTGACTCACTCAATGAATCAATTAATTGTTCATTGTATCAGTGAATCGCTCAGTTAGGAATATCGATAATTCTTGTACTGCTGAGTCAAAAAAAATGTCCTTTATTCCCAGTAGGAGCGCTCAGGTTTCTTGAGCTTTAAATCTGTTTTGCTGGTTCTGCTCTTGAGCTTGTGTCTCTGGCGTTTTTGTATGCGAATCTCATCATCTTGGATACCAGCATTGCCTTTTTTCCCCCTCTTGTGTGGATCTTCATCATCCTCTTCATCAGAGGTGAAGTCTTCTTCCAGCTCGCTTTGCACCAGTGTACTCAGTCTTTGGAACAAATCCAGGGCTTTAACTTCAGCTAGCAGAGACTGGTATTTACTGGCAACATGGTGCACAAACAGGCCACTATACAACCTTAACAACAAAAAGAATAAAAAATATATATATCCCGAAAGTAAAAATTAAAGGACATCCTCGACACCCAAATACAAAAATTAGCAGATGCTCAATACCCCGAAGACAACAACGAAACAACACCCTCAATACCCCGAAGACAAAAACGAAACAACACCCTCAATATCCCGAAGACAACAACGAAACAACACCCTCAATACCCCGAAGACAACAATGAAACAACACCCTCAATACCCCGAAGACAAAAACGAAACAACACCCTCAATATCCCGAAGACAACAACGAAACAACACCCTCAATACCCCGAAGACAACAGCGAAACAACACCCTCAATACCCCGAAGAAAAAAACAAAACACCCTCGATCCCCGAAGACAAAAAATAAAACACCCTCGATACCCCAAAACAACACCCTCCATACCCATCAACAACGCCCCAGATAGAAAGTTTAGAGAACACCATCGACGCCTCAGATAGAAAGTTTAGAGAACGCCATCCACACCTCAGATCCAAAGTTTAGAGAACGCCATCGACGCCTCAGATCCAAAGTTTAGAGAACGCCATCGACGCCCCAGATAGAAAGTTTAGAGAACGCCATCCACACCTCAGATCCAAAGTTTAGAGAACGCCATCGACGCTCCAGATAGAAAGTTTAGAGAACGCCATCGACGCCTCAGATAGAAAGTTCAGAGAACGCCATCCACACCTCAGATCCAAAGTTTAGAGAACGCCATCGACGCTCCAGATAGAAAGTTTAGAGAACGCCATCGACGCCCCAGATAGAAAGTTTAGAGAACGCCATCCACACCTCAGATCCAAAGTTTAGAGAACGCCATCCACACCTCAGATCCAAAGTTTAGAGAACGCCATCGACGCCTCAGATCGAAAGTTTAGAGAACGCCATCGACGCCCCAGATAGAAAGTTTAGAGAACGCCATCCACACCTCAGATCCAAAGTTTAGAGAACGCCATCGACGCCCCAGATAGAAAGTTTAGAGAACGCCATCCACACCTCAGATCAAAAGTTTAGAGAACGCCATCGACGCCTCAGATCCAAAGTTTAGAGAACGCCATCGACGCCTCAGATCCAAAGTTTAGAGAACGCCATCCACACCTCAGATCCAAAGTTTAGAGAACGCCATCAACGCCCCAGATCGAAAGTTTAGAGAACGCCATCGACGCCCCAGATAGAAAGTTTAGAGAACGCCATCCACACCTCAGATAGAAAGTTTAGAGAACGCCATCGACGCCTCAGATAGAAAGTTTAGAGAACGCCATCGACGCCTCAGATCCAAAGTTTAGAGAACGCCATCGACGCCTCAGATCCAAAGTTTAGAGAACGCCATCGACGCCCCAGATAGAAAGTTTAGAGAACGCCATCCACACCTCAGATCCAAAGTTTAGAGAACGCCATCGACGCCTCAGATCCAAAGTTTAGAGAACGCCATCGACGCCTCAGATCCAAAGTTTAGAGAACGCCATCGACGCCTCAGATCGAAAGTTTAGAGAACGCCATCCACACCTCAGATCCAAAGTTTAGAGAACGCCATCGATGCCTCAGATCGAAAGTTTAGAGAACGCCATCGACGCTCCAGATAGAAAGTTTAGAGAACGCCATCCACACCTCAGATCCAAAGTTTAGAGAACGCCATCGACGCCTCAGATCCAAAGTTTAGAGAACGCCATCGACGCCTCAGATCGAAAGTTTAGAGAACGCCATCGACGCCCCAGATAGAAAGTTTAGAGAACGCCATCGACGCCTCAGATAGAAAGTTTAGAGAACGCCATCGACGCCTCAGATCGAAAGTTTAGAGAACGCCATCGACGCCCCAGATAGAAAGTTTAGAGAACGCCATCGACGCCCCAGATAGAAAGTTTAGAGAACGCCATCGACGCCCCAGATAGAAAGTTTAGAGAACGCCATCGACGCCCCAGATGTATTATCAAGTTACTCAAATGCATCTTTACGTTGTGCAAGATACATCGTGAAATCGAACTTTTCTGATGTTGTTCAGTGAGTACACAGTAGTGCCACATTTAAAGACTATAAAGAGTGAAAACAATTATTTCAATCTACACTTGCAACAATCGATTTAATAAGAAAAAGGATGATCAAACAGAAAAAGACATGAGGGCGTGTGAATGTTTCTCATTGCTGGTTTGAATGAAGTCTTGTGACTCTAAAGTCTTTTTGCCTGAAGGAGCAGTGAAGGTTCGCGTTACTGTTGGCTTAGTCATGATCATGCCAGCGAGGCGAGGTTCATCGTGCCTTAGTGACTCATAATAACTGTGTTTCCCTGTTCTGCATGTTTTGGTCTTCCCTCTCGAGGAGGTTAATGAGGTTAAAGATCATCAAGGAGAAATGATCTGATTGGTTGGATCAGGTTGTGCTACAGCAGGGGAAACTCCAGAATATGTAGGACAGGGACCCAGCAGGATCAGGCTTGACTAACAGAGCAGTGGTGATTATTCAGCTCTGACGGTGTGGAAGGAGGAGGTGGTGTTTACCGTGCGTATTCTGGTTCAGGCACTGGATTGTTCAGCAGCTGGTTGAGGCAGATACTGTCCCTCAGACTGCCCTGCCACTGACTGTAAGCGTGAGCTGCCTCCAGGTCCAGAGGAGTCTCCTCTTTACGGCTTTTCAGGTTCCTCAGCCTTTTTGGCAGCTCTGCAAAGCAGGAAGGGAAAATGGTATGGGTGAAATTCAACCAGAGAAGGTTCATTAGCTCTGATAGATTCTCCACAACATGCACATAATAAACAGCATCTTCTCACATTTCATTTGCTTATTTCTGCCTCGTAGCTCATTGAAACAAGCAGAGAAATTGTGTGGAAAGTGCTGATAGTAAACTTTCAATCCAGATCACATTTGTGTTTAAGTACAAAAGGTGATATTTTATCATGATCTAAATTTGGTAAAAATGTCTTGCTTTCGCAGAAATAAATATCTTTTTATTTTTGTCATTTTGCTATATTTGTTTTTAACATAATTTGAAAAATGCTTGCTGCCCTTTACATTATGTAAAAAATTCACAATAAATGGCCAACAGAAATAGTCAAAAAATTACTTGAAATAAAGTCTGGATACATTGACTTACATGGAAAGTTTGAAGGTTTTTTTCCTTCTGTAAAGTTACTGTTTTGGAGATAAAAGGTTTTTCTCTGACACAGATTAATAAATAATTGATAAATATATTTACATCTAAGTCTTTTTAATTGAATGTGTAGTAAATCCACAATAATAACTGTGGGCTTCTAAGGGTTGATTAACAGAATAGAATGGAGTAGAGTTTTCAGGGAGTAGATTAAGATATGAAATAAAAAACATAGATTTCTATAAAACTGTTTCCATCCCGTTCATATAAGCTTGGCAATTGTTGCTGAAGGGATAACTTGGCCAAGAAAGATTTTTTTTCTTTATTTAGAATCAGATAGATAGATAGATAGATAGATAGATAGATAGATAGATTCAACTTTGTTATTGCTCAGTACAAGTACACTACTCTGCTGTGGCCAGGAGAGGGAGCACTTCCGAGCTTTTCTACATGATTAGAGAGGGAGGGGGCCACGAGTAAGATGAGTCTTTAGCAACGGCTGAAACGCGGAGTTATACATTCCCTGTTTGAGTGGAACGACCGGCGATCTGTTCTCCTGTGACCGAGTGTGAGTGACGAGGTCAGTGGTGTAACTGTACTGACCTACAGTGAACTCACCTCTTTACTAACATCCTAACAGCTTTAGCAGCGTTAAATCACGTCTGCTCCTCACAACTACAGCACTGTTACAGCGCTCAGACAGTCATATTTAAGTATTAGTGCATTCACAAGCAATGAAAGTGAAAGAAAGAAGTGGGTTCATGTAAATTACAGCCCTGATTTAAACGAAAGTAACCTGAGAAAGCTGTGAGGCTTTGGAGAGCGGGAGAGCGCTAGCTTTCCAGGCTAGCTGTTTTTAGCAGCTGGCTAACTTGAAGCAGCTCCGTCACTCCACAACACGGAGAATTGATGATACTGTAGATCAAACACAGCACAAAAGCACCGCTTTCAGTTTAAACGTACCTAAAGGAGGACTCTGTTTGTCTGGTGTTGATATTTTGCGGTTCACCACTTAAACTACTACGATAGTATAGAGAATCCAGTCGTCTAGCTGGTGTCTGAATACTGTGATGTCATGTGTAGCGGGGTAGCCGAGCGCTCGGCACCAGCTGAAAATAATGTTTTCTTTCTTAAATTATGACTATCACAAAAATAGCCATGCTTTTCCAGTTGGTAAAAACAGCTCAGCAGACACTTTCTCCCACTCTCCCATGACAGATTTGTGAAATGTTCCACTGGTTGGTGAGTGTTTGTTGTGTTCTGACCATAAAGGATGGTTTAAAACAGCGATTAACCACCCAGGACCAAAAATCCGCCTTCAAACTTGAAAGAAATAATGATTTGACATTTATTGCAGTATGCATCGATATCGAACGATATGGATTTTGTTTATCATGATAACATTTTTGACCATATCGCCCAGCTGTACTTTTCACTTTATCTAATGTGTATAGAACTCAACGATAGAACCTGGTGTGCTGATTAAAGATAGAGAAAATTAAGCTGGCAAAATGAAAAATTGAAAATACAACTCCATTTCCAAAAAAGTTGGGACGCTGTGCAAAATGTAAATAAAAACAGAATACAATGATTTGCAAATCGTTTAAACCCTATATTTAGTTCAAAATATAACAAAGACAACAGATCAAATGTTGAAAGTGATGAATTTTATTGTTTTATGAAAAATATCTGCCCGCTGTGAAATTCATGCCAGCAACATGTTCAGAAAAAGTTGGGACGGGGAAACAAAAGCCTGGTAAATGGTACCAGGTAATGGTAAAAAACACCTGGTGTTTGATTGACAACAGGTCAGTAACATGATTGGGTATAATGATCATCTCAGAGAGGCGGAGTCTTTCAGAAGAAAAGATGAGGAGGGGTTCACCACCACAAAGACTGCATGATGAAATAGTGCAACAATACAACAATAACATTTCTCAACATATAATAGCAAAGAACTTTTGCTTTTCATCATCTACGGTACATAATAACATTAAAAGATTCAGAGAATCTGGAGAAATCTCTGTATGTAAGGGACGAGGCCAAAACCAGTATTTGCTGGCCGTGATCTTTGGGCCCTCAGACAGCACTGCATTAAAAACAGACATGATTCTGTAGTGGAAATCACTGCATGGGCTCAGAAACACTTCTGAAAACCAGTGTCTGTGAAAACAGTTCATCACTGCATCCACAAATGCAATTAAAAACTCTACTATTCTAGGACAAAACCATAGATAAACAGAATCCAGAAACGCTGCCGTCTTCTCTGGGCCCAAGTTAGTTTAAGATGGACGGAGGTAAAGCAGAAACTGTCCTGTGGTCCAACAAATCAAATTTTGAAATTCTTTTTGGAAATCATGGACACTGTGTCCTACGGGCTGAAGACTACTCAGCTTGTTATCAGCGTACAGTTCAAAAGCCAGTATTCATGATGGTATATAGGGGGCATTAGTGTACATAGCATGGTTGACGCTCACATCTGTGAAGGCACCATTAATGCTGAACGATATATACAGATTTTGGCGACATATGCTGCCATTCAGACAACGTCTTTTTCAGGGAAGGCCTTGATTATTTCAGCAAGACGATGTCAAACCACATTCTGCATGTATTACAGCAGCCTGGCTCTAAAGTAAAAGAGTCTGGATGCTAAACTGACCTGCCTGCAGTCCAGACCTGTCACCCAATGAAAACATTTGCTGCATAATGAAACAAAAATATGACAAAGGAGACCCTGAACTGTTGAGCAGCTGAAATCCTGTATTAAGCAAGAATGGGTAAACATTTCAGTTTCAAAACTACAGCAGTGTTTCCTCAGTTCCCAAACGCTTACAGAGTGCTGTTAAAACAAGAAGTGGTGCAAAATAGCAGTAGACATAAACCTGTCCCAATTTTTTCAGAACGTGTTGCTGGAATCAAATTCAAAATGGGCAAATATTTTTCAAAAAACAACATTTCTCAGTTTCAGTATTTAAAATGTTCTCTTTGTACCATTTTGAAAGAAATACAGGCTTTATGTAATTTGTTTATGATTGCATTCTAGTCTTATTTACATTTTGCACGGTGTCCCAACATTTTTGGAAATGGGGTTGTAAATAAGCACATTCAAACATATATTCAAAAAAATTCAAACAAAAGAGGGGCATTTCAGGGTCATATACATTTTTCAATTCTTCCAATATTCCTCAAATTTAGCTTCCTGGAGCCTTATGGGGAAGGTGAGTCTTTCCATTATAAAGATTTCATAGATAATATCATCCCAGTCCTCTAGGGATGGGGTATCTGGCTTACGCCATTTCTTTGTAATTGATTTTCTAGCAGCTGCACTCAAAATTCCAAACAAGTATTTTAACATTTATAGATGTTGAGTGTAGAAACCCCAGAAAAGTTCTTCCCAATTAAAGGCACCAGAAAATGTTTATTTTTGGGCAGGCCCAAAACAAGTGATAGTGATATGCTTCCTGGGAGCCACAATTCCTTCAACAGCTAGGAGAGCCAAGGTGGTGAGACCTCTGAACAACTGTCATAAAATATCTACTAAGACTCTTCCAGCTGAACACTTTACATGAAGCTGACCCTGATATCATCCACTGAAATTCATAGCATTTTGACCAGACTTCTTCTGTAATGCAACTATTGGTTTCCCTTTCCCTTTTTTTATGTAGATGGTACTTGCTATTTTGGCTTCCTGAAGACCCCTATATATTCTTTAGATTACCTTAAGCCCCTAATCTATTCTATAGGCATTAATAAATCTTTCAGTAAATTGTCTAAAAAGTCACTATTATTTAGTTCATGTAGTGTTTTAACATCTGTAAGTTTTTCAGTGTCCCTTGACTGAAGAAGGTACAGTATGAAGAGAGGCCCCGACTCACCCAGTCCTTATGGTGCATGTCCAACTTATTTGGGGAAAAATCAAGGTCATGAGCACACCATCTCAGAATCTTTATCTCCCTTATTCTTTGCTAATTTAATAGTTTGAAATCTCACCCTAGGCTTTTTCCCTTGCCAAATGTATCATGATGTAATGAGATCTCATATTCTTGGCCTAGCAGTTTCATGCCTGTAACGTTCTCATCCTGAGTGATCCCCTGACTTAACACCTCAATAAATGTACCAAAAAAATAATGGACTTACTGAGCAGCCCTGTCTAGTCCCTCTCTCCAGATTAAAGGTGTTTGATGTGGCGCCGTTTATTTTAATGCTTGCCCTTGGGTCACTGTACAATGCTTGAATAGTTTTAATAAAAGTCTGGTGGAATCCATGTAGTGAAAGCATCCAGACCTCCTGCCTTATTGGGTTTTAAATTTAAATTGCCTTTTTGATTTCTTCATCCGATATTGTACCAACTAGAAGCTTATTTTGTTCGTCCCTTACTTTTTACCAATTTAATTTAATTTCGAATTAATTTTATCAGGTCAAGAAAAGGTTTCATCTGTCTTTCATCTATTTTAGGCTGCCTGTATAAAGTTTTACAAAAAGTTTCAAATGATTGTTGTTTATCCTTTAATTTGCTGTGTATAGGATTTGTTGTGGGGTCTTTTATTTTATAAATTGTATTTTCTGCTTGTTGCTTTATTAATTTGTCCACAAGCAATTTGGCTGATTTTCTTTCTGCTTCATACCGTCTTTGTTTTAGAAAGATAAACTTTTTTTAAATATCATTTGAGTAGATTTCATTTAATGAATTCTTTTTCTTGTCTATTTCCATTTTTGTTTCAATGTCTTTTTATGTAGGTTCTTTAATTCCTTTATTCTGTTTTTAACTTATCCAGATATTATTTTCTCTGCTTTTTAAAATTTGAGCTATATCCTATAATTTTCTCTCGAAGAACAGCTTTACATGCGTACCAAAAAATTGGTGGCGATACTTTCCCATTATCATTTTTGTCAAGATATTCTTTTATATCCATCCTTAAATACCACCTCATTTGGTTAAGAATGCCTGTATTTAGCCTCCAGATGTTTTTTTTTTTATTTTCGGAGCCTAATATCAAGTCCACAGTGATTGGGGTAAGTCCATGGCCCCAAACTTGCAACCTATCACCCTAGACAAGTTTCTTTGAAACATGAAGAAATAGTCAATCTTGGAATCAGTGGATTCAAATCTCTCCATATATCTGAAAGCCCCAATTCCTGCTTCATTAAATTTATGTTTTTTGTAATTTTCTTCGCTCCTGAATAATAAAGTCTTCACGTTTCCAGGGATGAGTGAAGTCTAACATTAAAATCTCCTCCAAATATTAGGGTTCCCTGAGCCTCCAGGATAAATAAATCAAAGAATTGTTTATAAAATTTCCATTCGGATCCCGAGGAGCATAAACATTCAGGAAAGTAACTAACATACATACCCTGCAGATATCCCAGGACCAGCACAAATCTCCCGTCTGTCTCCCATCTTTTCCTTGTTTAGTTTACTAGAAATTAGAATTGCTACACCTCTCTTAGAGCGCTGACAACAGGAAGACGCATACTGGTTAAATCTCCATCTCGTGAGTTTTTCATGTTCTAATTCTTTTAAATGAGTCTCTTGAAGGAGAGCTACTTCTGCTCCCTCTCTTTTCAACTTTGCCAGAACTTTTCCTCCTCTTAATTGGATTTCCTAGACCATTTACATTATAAGTAGTTACTTTAATTAGATTGAAGCTTTGCATTATGTCTTTGAGTATATTTTAGATCCCCGTAAGTCTACATATATATCATATCTCTCACCCATGGTGCTATAAGGAACAGTAGCACAGCTATAATCAATAACCAGTAACATGATAACCAAGTAGTGAACCAAGTCGCAAATATCAACATTAACTTTAAGTTTTAAGGCCTTTTTTATGGAAAATGTGTATCAAAGGAAAGACTCTTCCTCCTGACATTGAAAGAGAGCCCTCTTCAGCTGTTAGGATGATGCATAGGTCCATATGCAAAAGAGGTGTCCTGACTTTAAACCTATCCTCCATACGCCTTTAGCATTATCTATCTTAGCAATACTAATACCATGTAGGGAAGCAGAATTGAAAATGAACACTGACTCTCACCATTAGTTTCAGCATTGTTTAACATTCTTGGAGGAAGTATGTTTCATAGCAAATGTACTTATCAGATGTCCCTGGAGTCATTCCTTGAAGCTTCGATTAGAGCCTGCATTCTCCTGGTTTCTTTGTTTTCCGCTGAGACACCAAGTCAGCTGGCTGATGTGGTCGAGAAGAGAAGTTGGATGTTTCAGAAAGGTCACCGGTATCCCCCTCTCTGCCATGTCCACCATTGCTTCCTCTGCCGAGCTGTAAACCACCGTGCCATCCTTGTAAAACACTCTGAGCCTGGCCATGAACGGAAGTCTGAAATTTTAAATCTCGTTCCTTGAGCACAGCTTTCACTTCTGCATATTCCGTCCGCTTCCTCAGCCACTCAGGTGCATAATCATTGTCCAGGTGCACCCCTTTTCCTTGGATTTCAAATCCTTTTTTCTGCCAAGGTCTTTTAAGCACATACTCTTTCATTCTGTAGCTTGAGCTTCATTCGCTCCTCTTCAATCTTTTGTGAATTTTATTGATATCTAATCTTATGCCATTTCGTTGCTAACTGGAGTCCCTTCTAAATTCTCTCTGTCCGGATAAGACCCATGTTAGCACCGCTTGTCAGCTCCGAGTCAGTGATGGATTGCCTGCCATCCTCCATGTTGATATTAGCTTGTGGAAGTTCACTTTCTTCTTCAAGGTCATGTTTTTTTACTCTGTGCAAGATTTTTATTCCCTACTTTAGGCATTTTTGTTCATCCGCTGAATCTCCGATTCTCAGAAATGAAATTCTAGTTATACGGGCAACTTTTAATTCTTATTGTCGGGATACCTATTGTTTTATGAGGTCATCACCTAGCCAGCTGGATTGGAAGTCCCCCCAGCAAATACATTTTTTTTTCTGTTTACCTAAATGTTCACACAGTGCTAATTGGTGGGGTATAAGCTTCCAGTACTTGTTAGCTACATTGGGCTTGTAGCTCCAGTGCTAAAACTAAAGAAGCAAACTTCAGATACCAAACATGTCTTGGCTGATCGACATCAGCATGAGGGAGCAACTGTGTAAATGTATTTTTTCCTTTAATCTCTTGATATAATGATTTGATTGTGATTTATTAAAGCCAGAGAAGCTGTATATTCACCTTTCTCTGTGAGTGGATCTCTGGACAGCTCTCCGTACACCAGGCCGACCAGCAAGGCCCAGAGGAATTCTGGTTTGGGCTCAGGCTCCGCATGTTTCAGCCAGTAGCATGTGACGTACATGGCTAGCTGCAGGTTTGCAGGAACAAGGAGCTCGTCAAAAGCCTGAGACACACACAAAGCGTCCAAGAAGACCTCAAGCCTCCGATTCTGTGGCGTCTAGAAGATAAAAGAGCAGATTTATAGTGAATGCTCTGGAAAACTCTCTGTACCATCCATCCATCTTCTAAACCGCTTATCCAACTGGGTCGTGGGGGGTGCTGGAGTCAATCCCAGCGTTCAGTGGGCAGAAGGCAGGAAACACCCTGGACAGGTCACCAGTCCATCACAGACACACAGACATACACATTCATTCCAAGGGGCAATTTAGCATCTCCAGTTCACCTGACTGCATGTGGGAGGAAACCGGAGCACCTGGAGGAAACCCAGACAGACACGGGCAGAACATGCAAACTCCACACAGAAAAGACCCTGGCCTGACTGATTCCTCGGGCTAAACTGCTGTAGGCTGAATGGGCGGGGCTAAACTGCTGTAGGCTGAAAGGGTGGGGCTAAACTGATGTAAGCTGAATGGGTGGGGCTAAACTGATGTAAGCTGAATGGGTGGGGCTAAACTGCTGTAGGCTGAATGGGTGGGGCTAAACTGCTGTAGGCTGAAGTGTGGTCATATGGAAATGTGTTCATGATTATGACATTATGAGCTGTTTTTGCAGCTTAGTTTCCATATATGGGCTGTGGAATGAAATTTAGCAATGTTTACATTCCACATCTTTGTTACTTTTGTTAAAAAAATAGAAAAATATGAGTTAGCATGATATTAGCATATAACTGTCTTCATAGACTATAACTAAACAATAGCACTAGTTTTAAGTCTGCATTACCTCCCACAGTGTGTCCAGCTGAAGGTCTGTCGGGATGGCTGGAACCGTGGAGCTGGTTAGCGTCAGCCCCTGCCTGTCATACTCCTCTACCTCGTACCGCTCTTCTTCTGTGGCGGCCTGCAGCATTAAGCCGTAAATGACCTGCCGTATGGGCCTGGAGGTCAGGTTGTTGCTGCAGAGGCTAAAATCCTGCACTGAAAAGTTGAGAGTGACCCTGTGCAGCGTGAGGACATCAAGAAGGATGGAGTTGAGCTTCCCCTCGCCCAGGGCCTTCAGGAACCACTCTGGCAGGCTCTGTAAAGGTCTTGGGAGCTTGCTCTGTGGTTCTCCTCTCTCGAAGAACTGAGCTATGGAGCTGGGAGTCAGGCGGTACTCCTGCAGGCCCTGCTTGAGAACCTTGAGGACCATGGCTGAATCCCTCGGGTTCGTAATCGTGCTCCGAAGGGCTTTAATGGCGTCTTTGGGGCACTTATGGCGCGACAGCCATCTGAGCAAGCCATCGATATTGCGGTTTCCTCCAGGAGTAAGTGAGAACTTTGTCCAGTTTGGAAACAGTGTTTTGTCCAGGTGGGCGTAGTCGTTGCCCAAGATGGTGGCGAAAATAGGGAGAAGCTGCTTGTTCATGCAGTTTAAGGTGCTGCACAGGTTGCTGACGGAATACCAACTGGCTGGAATGTACTTTTTGTCTGACTGTCTGATTGACGTCACTTTCCTCCAGTGGAAGTCAAAAAGGGGTAAAAACCCTCCCTTGATGTCGAATATGTAGAAATCAGAGTCGTTGGACAGAACCGGACAGTTCCACTCATTAGCCAGAGCTGCGACCTCCCAGTCGGCCTCGGCGACGCACTGGATAAGCGGCACCTTGAGCTTCCTGAGGACCTGCTTGAAGACGTTCTTGATGAGGATCGGAAGGGCTTCTCCTCGTCGTCCTTTGGACAAGGCGTCGGCCCTCTTGATCCTGTCTTCGGCTCTTTTCTTCAGGGTGTCGAACTTCTTATCGCTGATGTCGTCCCCTCCGTCCAGCACGACGTAAGGCTTGATTGTGCAGATTCTGAGGTTTGCGAAGAAGCGACTGACCACTTTCTCAAAGCCTTCATATTCTCCTCCGTGCGCTTGATCCAGGTGAGACTGGAAGTAGAGGCTGTAGTACAGATTGGATCCATCGATGACGAGCTTGCTGTTCCTAAAGTTTCGCCTCTTCAGGACGTCGCTGTTGCCCTCCATGTAGGTCTTGAGTCCTTGGACTCCCATGGCGCCCACCTTCTAGACTTTTAGTCTCGGACAACAAAATATAGACCTATAAATGAGAAGATTCATTTACACTGACAATCCAGTATGAATTCTTTAATCATACAGCCTTTAATGCAGTGTTACCAGGTTTTATGTGGCTTTTATCAGGATTAGAGTTTGCCTATAATTCTGAAATGTACAGTGAGCAAAATGATGCTGCGTTTAAACTTAAAAACGCTTAAAATATTAAGTTAACAAACTAAAAACAAATTATTCTTCTGTAAACATTACAAGTTCAGTGAACTGAAAGTTAACCTGGTTACTTACTTTTTAAATTTAAAAGAGTGACACTTTAAAAAGATGGTTCCTCAAGAGTTCTTTAGTAAAGGCAGCGGTTCTACATAGAACCATGAGTTCTATATAGAACCTTTTGCAAGCTTAAATGGTTCTTTGCGTGGTGAAATGGTTCTTCAGATTGATGGAGAAAGTTTTGTATATGATTCTATATAGCACCAAAAAAGTTTCTGCTACTTTCAAACACTTGTCAAAAGATGGCTTTTCAAGGGTTCTTTAGTAAAGAAAGTGGTTCTAAATAGAACCATAAACACTCAAAAAACCCTTTGCATGATCAGATTGATGGAGAATGTGCTGTATATGTTTCTATGTAGAACCTTTTTAAAAGGGTTCTTTATAGCAACTTCTATTGTAACAAGTTTGTATTGTAACAATAGCAGAACCCTTTTTGGTGCTATATAGAAACCTATTCAAAAAGGTTCTATGTAGAACCATATATAGCACATTCTGCATCAATCTGAAGAACAATTTCATGATACAAAGAACCATTTAAGCATGCAATGGGTTCTTTGAGTGTTCACAGTTCTATGTAGAACCATTTTTTTTATGAAAGAACCATTGAAGAACTATCATTTTTAAGAGGGCATACAATAGCAGAACACTTTTTGGTGCTATACACAACTGTTTTTTTTTAAAAAGGTTCTATGTAGAACCATATAGCAAGCAAGCAAAGTTTATTTATATAGCGCTTTTTACAACAGGTGTTGTCACAAAGCAGCTTTACAAAACAAAACAAAAAAAAAAAACAGCATTACAGGAAGAAATCCAGGTCCAAGCCTCCATGAGCGTCACCAGTGGTGACAGTGGCAAGGAAAAACTCCCTAAGAGAAACAGGAAGAAACCTTGAGAGGAACCAAGACTCAGAAGGGGAACCCATCCTCCTCTGGTCGACACCGGATAGTAAAACATTGTTAGTACAGAAACAGGGAAAACAGGTGGAGCAATGATTAATTTGATTAGTTTAGTTTATGCAGCAGCATCATCAGCATCAGTGGGGTCAGGTTGTGAGGGTGAGGTTTGTACGGCGTTGTACAGCAGGAGGCTCAATGTTGGTAAGCCGGTCCAGAGGGCTGGCGAGCAGTGGCACCCAATCAAGGCAGAAGAGGCAGCAGCATCAGACGCACAGGATGGGCAGCTGTTCAATTCGGCAAAGAAAAGAAAGAAAGGAAAAACACACAGAGAGTCAGTTCTGTAATGAGTGACTGATCACAGATTACAGTGTTAGCAGAGCAGCAGAGACTTGGCAGGTATAGAACCGACAGGGAAGACTAATTACCAAAGGCTTGACTATACAAGTAAGTTTTTAGCCTAGACTTAAACACTGAGGCTGTGTCTGAGTCCCGAACATTAACAGGAAGACTATTCCAAAGCTGGGGGGCTTTGTATGAGAAGCTCCGCCCCCTGACGTAACTTTATTAATTCTAGGTACTAACAGTGAGCAGCACCTTGTGATCTAAGTAGGCGTGATGGTTCATAGTGAGAGAGAAGTTCACTCAGGTACTGAGGGGCAAGTCCGTTTAGGGCTTTATAGGTCAGTAATAGAATTTTATAATCAATGCGAAATTTAACTGGTAACCAGTGTAGGTTTGATAGAACTGGGCTGATATGGTCAAACTTTCTGGTTCTAGTAAGAACCCTGGCTGCAGCGTTCTGGACTAACTGAAGCTTGTTAAGGCTTTTGCTGGGACATCCAGACAGCAGGGCACTACAGTAATCTAGCCTTGAAGTAATAAATGCATGAACTAACTTTTCTGCATCCTGTAGAGAGAATGCATTTCTCAATTTAGCAATATTGCGGAGATGCAGGAAGGCTGTTCTAGTAATATTAGTTATGTGTGCGTCGAAGGACAGATCAGGGTCTATAAAGACACCAAGGCTTTTTACAGATGAGCTTGATGCAACTGAGAAATTGTTAAGTTTAAGTGTTAAAGTAGACGGTTTATTTCTAGCTGCTTTTTGGACCAAGAAGCAGAACCTCTGTTTTGTCCAAGTTTAGAAGGAGAAAGTTACTCGACATCCAGTCTTTTACGTCTTTTATACAGTCCTCAATCTTGCTAAGTTTAATTTTATCATCCGGTTTGCTTGCTAAGTATAACTTAGTGTCATCGGCATAGCAGTGGAAATTTATGCCGTGTATACTGATAATGGTGCCCAGTGGTAGCATATATAGTGTGAATAAAACAGGTCCTAAAACAGAGCCTTGTGGAACACCATACTTTACTTTTGCGAGGACAGATGATTCACCGTTTATATTAACAAACTGATAGCGATCAGTGAAGTAGGACCGGAACCAGGAAAGAGCTGTTCCTGTTACTCCTACAAGGTTCTCTAGTCTATCTAATAAGATAGCAGGGTCTATTGTGTCAAATGCCGCTCTAAGATCGAGAAGGACTAACAGAGACACTTTTTCTTGGTCAGAGACTAATAATAGATCATTTACAATTTGTACTAGTGCTGTCTCTGTACTATGATGTGGCCTAAAACCAGATTTAAATTTTTCGTGTATTTGATTCCTCTGCAAATAGGAGCTTAATTGTTTTGCTATAACTTTTTCCAGGATCTTTGATATAAAGGGGAGATTCGAGATGGGTCTATAATTTGATAGTTCGCAGGGATCGAGGTTCGCTTTCTTAATCAGCAGTCTAATTACTGCTAGTTTAAGAGATTTTGGGATGTATCCAAGGATAAGAGAGGAGTTTATTATTGACAGAATAGGCTTGGTTATTTCTGGCAAAATTTCCTTGAGTGAACCTGTAGGAATCGGATCTAACATACAAGTAGATGTTTTTGCGGAAGAGACTATTTTAACTAGTTCATTTTCTTGGAGTAAGGTAAACGATTCCAGCCTCTCTGCAGGGATCATAGTATTCTCAGGATTTAGACTGGCATTATGGGGAAGCAGGTTTGTAGAGTTTAACTATGTATTCTGAATTTTCTGCCTAATTTTTTCAATTTTATCATTAAAGAAGTTAATAAAATCGTTGCTGCTATAGGCTGATGGAACCTGGGGTTCACTAACTGTTTTGTTCTCTGTTATTTTAGAGATTGTGCTGAAAAGTAATCTAGGATTATTTTTATTGTTTTCTATGAGAGAGGAGAGGTAAACTGAGCGTGCTGTAGCAAGTGCTCTTCTATAGTCTATACAACAATTCTCCATCAGTCTGAGGAACCATTTCACTATGAAAAGAACCATTTAAGCATACAAAAGGTCCTAATTAGAACTATTGCCTTTACTAAACAACCATCGAGTGTATACAATTTTGGTTGTTTCCAGAACCTTTTTTTTGTTTTGTTTTGTTTTTTTTTTAAAAAAAAAAGGTTCTACATAGAGCCAAATACAACACATTTTCCATTAATCTGAAGAACCATTTCACCATACAAAGAACGATTTAAGCATGTAAATGGTCCTTTATAGAACTATTGGCTTTACTAAAGAACCAGCAAAGAACCATCGTTTCAAGTGTATTTGATAGTAGAACGCTTTTTGGTGCTATATAGTACTTTTTTTTAAAAAGGTTCTATCTAGAACCATATACAACAGATTCTCCATCAATCTGAAAAACCATTTCACCATGCAAAGAACCATTAAGCATGCAAACGGCCCTAAAAGAACCCTTAGAGAACCATATTCTGTGTAACAGCCAGCTTTCTTATGACTGATGCAGTAAGAACTCAAACAAGTTCTACAAGATCAGAATCTGCCTTTCTAAGTTTCAGCTAAACTTTCTGAGGGTTTCATTTAAACTTCACACTCGGAGCTCAAACAGGCGCCCGTCTGAGAAACTCCTGCGTATTTAATCTGAATAGGTTCCAGTATAATTTACCTGTTTTGCTGCGAGAATAAAGAAGAGCGCTCGCGCTGCCCGCGCTTCTGTGTTTCTGCTCGTGCCCGCGCGGGGCGCTTATTTATGTAAAGCGAAACTGTGCGTCACACAGAGGAAGACGAAACCTAAGGAGCAGCAGAAGAGCCGCTCAGCTGAGAGGAGTGTTTGTTTGTGAGCGGTTTCCAGAGCGACTTACACTGACTCAGCCCGGAATAACCTGCAGAGCTCTTACTGCATACATGAGAGTGTATACATCATCTCTAACTGTATAGATCATCTCTGACTGTATAGATCATCTTTAACTGTATACATCATCTCTTACTGTATACATCATCTCTGACTGTATAGATCATCTCTAACTGTATAGATCCTCTCTTACTGTATAGATCCTCTCTTACTGTATAGATCATCTTTAACTGTACAGATTATCTCTTACTGTATAGATCATCTCTAACTGTATAGATCATCTTTAACTGTATAGATCATCTCTTACTGTATACATCATCTCTAACTGTATAGATCCTCTCTTACTGTGTAGATCCTCTCTTACTGTATAGATCATCTCTAACTGTATAGATCCTCTCTTACTGTATAGATCATCTTTAACTGTACAGATTATCTCTTACTGTATAGATCATCTCTAACTGTATAGATCATCTTTAACTGTATAGATCATCTCTAACTGTATACATCATCTCTAACTGTATAGATCCTCTCTTACTGTATAGATCATCTTTAACTGTATAGATCATCTCTAACTGTATAGATCATCTCTAACTGTATAGATCATCTCTTACTGTATACATCATCTCTAACTGTATACATCATCTCTAACTGTATAGATCATCTCTAACTGTATACATCCTCTCTTACTGTATAGATCATCTTTAACTGTATAGATCATCTCTAACTGTATAGATCATCTTTAACTGTATAGATCATCTCTAACTGTATAGATCCTCTCTTACTGTATAGATTCTCTCATACTATATATTCTCTTACTGTATAGATCAGTGTTTATGCTGCAATAAGCCTGGCTTATTGCTTTTATAAAATGGTGGCCAACATAAAATATGATAAAATACACACTTTTTCAGTAAAAAATAATTAAAGTTATTATTAATAATAATCGACCTAAGTATTCCGCCAAGAAATGTAGTTCCTTCAGAGTACAGTATCATTGCCAAGCAACTATGAACCACTGAATGAAGAGAACGTTTGGCTGTCCATCGCTGTACGTTGCGGCCATTTCATGAACTTTTTAACTTTTTTGTTGTAGAGCAGTGAACATATGATAACACAGCGCTGTTTAATACAACAACTTTCACTTTATTAGTATTTTTTGGTCACCAAATTTCCACCGCGAGTCTTATTTAGCACCAATCCAGCCCCTCTTCTCACACTGGGGCTGAATCTCAAACGGCTCCCTGCTCCCTACATAGTGCACTACATAGGAGTTTAAATACTGGATCCTGCAGCCCAACAGAGCAAAATACAGCTAAGAAACAGTCATTTGGGACTCAGACTCGTCCACACTCGATAAGTGATGCACTGTTTGGCTGTAGAGGCTAGAATTTCTAAACTTTCACAGCTAGAACACTATTTAGGGAGTACAGAGCCGTTTGGGATTCAGTCTGGGATTGAGTGACCTCTGACTGAAACACGGACATTTGAAGTGTGTAAAACATTCAAGTGACATTTTTAGACTTTGATTCTACTGTTTTACAGTAAATCATATCGTAAATACTTTAATTCAAGCCTGTGATATTAATGATGGAGCTGTTTAGGCTGTTGGCTCTTTTAGCCTGTTAGCTAGCTGACCAGCCTGGTTCTAGTTAAGAACATAAGCTGTCAGCCCCTCAGTTTAAACAAAAAATGGGTTCTTACTTAATCAGTACACTTGGTGCACCATGTGATATGGCTTTTTTGTGCGGTGGCGCAGTGATACGTAATTCAGTCACTGTGAGGTGGTCATCGGTGCGCCTATATGTGGATTTTACAATGGCTTCAAATGCGGCTCAGCCAATCAGATTTTAGCACCATGACCATTTGTTTTATAAAGCACTGTATCCAGTGAAACTGCAGCAATAAAAACATACATTTTTTTAGCTTTCCTTTTTTAATATAGAATGCATACAACAACCAGCCACCAGGGGGTGTAATTACACATGTAATAAATCATAATCATAATGAATAATTCCTTTTTGCTTGTTTGTTAGTTATTTTTAATATTTCTTAATCTCATAGAGGAAGTCTGTGATGTTTGGCTTATATCCAGACCATCTCTTCTTATGTAAAAGAGAATGAGAAATATGAAAAAAAAGTACATATAGTGCATATGGGTAGTACCCTGATGACATCACAATTGTGCTGCCACCATTTTGGTAGCAAGTTCGTTCAGCAGCGCAGTGGCTGTTTGTAATGAGATAGTAAAGTCATAAATGATCCAACAAAGGTTGTAAAACTATATGATCATCAAATATTGACACGAGGCAGAACTGTATGACGCTGTCCGGCATCTGACCATATTCTGACCCACATGCCTAACATCTGACCAGTAATCAAATTGACCCTAAACTGTCTGCTATGGCGTTCAACAGTCCAGCAGCTCTGGTTGCTGATTACAGCTCTGCTGTGCTGCTCATTAGCTCCTCATTAAACATCTCCAAGACAAAGTTTAAAGTGTTTCCTCATTAATGCATTTATAGGTAAATTGATGCATTTATAGGTAAATTTGTAACCGTCATGGTCACATGATCATGGTTTTTCTTTTTTTTTCATGGCTTATATCATTATGATCATTGCTTGCATTTCCACCTACAGCCTCAAGGGGAGCTGTAGTCTATACTGACTTGAGGCAGGTTCAGGAAATAAAAGGGCAGGTTCAGGAAATGAAAGGGCAGGCAAACAGGAAGAAGAAGAAGAGAGTTGTTTGCAACAGATGTGCTCTCTTTTTTGGCTGTTTGTCTCCTGTACTGGGAAACATGTGTTTCTTTGCTGGTGTAAGTACAATGTTTTTTGTCCTTATATGGTCTGTGAACCACTTTCATTCATTTATTATGAATGGTCTGGTTTCCAACTGGGTTGAATGTAGCTGTTAGCATGCTATGCTAACTCCAGGCTTTGTTTGGTTAAACCCTACATTATTGTTGCTGTTTTGCTTAATGTATTATTAGGAGGAGATTTTATGCTACCCATCAACCGCCCTGTTGGTGTAAGGATTACCTTTCAACGTATTCTGCTGGACATTTCACCAAAACCTCAGGAACCCTCAGAAACTCTCCCAGGAACAGTCTCAACTTTCCCCTGGACTATCCGCCCACGAGAGCCATCTCTACCTTCAAGATATCTATATTCCTCAAGGATTTGCCTCATCAATTACAAACCCGGTGAGGCTGTTCCTTACTTGGCTGTACATAAAAACTGGACTTAAGGACTTCATTTGTTGAAGCTAAAGGACTGAGCAATTGTATATAGTGTATATTGATGTCAGTTCCTGTTGTTGTTGTTGTTGTTGTTGGGTTGTAAATAGGATTTGGGGTGCTTTCAATACATTTTGTGGGCTTCACCGTATGTTTGTGGACGTGTTTTCTGTGCTCAGTTATAAATTTTGTATTTCCTTTTGACACCCTCTCATACATCTTCCTCCATAGCACGGTAGGTGCAGGTTACCCATATTTTTTAAACGTTTCTGTGTTATCCTATTTTAAGTAGTTGGTAACATGTGGTGGCCCATACGGGGACCTGCACAGATCAAGAATAGAAACTACTGCCTACCTTTTGTGTCTCATTTTCATTTGCCTATTTTCAATAGAACAAAACTTTCTGTAAAGATGGCGGTGAGTGCACGGTCAGAGGCAGTGGATGGATCCTCACCCCCTTTAGACTTCACTGCTGGTCCGTTCGTGACTCAAAGATCCATGAATGACATCATTGACACCCTGAGCCAGCTATACATCTGCTCAGATGATGAGGAGGAGATTTCAGAACCTGGTGAGAGAGCAGAGGACCAACAAAATTGGCTTCCCCCTCCTCCACCTCCTGTGGACAATATTCCTGAAGGTTGGGAGGAAAGGCTACTGAGGCTGGAGAACAAAATAGTGGACCTGGAAGAAAGACTACCAGGGATGGAGGAAGAGCGCTGTTCCCTCATGACCCAAGAACAAGAGAAATGGGGAGAAAAGCTGCAGGGGCTGAGAGCCAGTTTTGAAGAGGGCATCAAGGCCCTAGAGAATCGACTGGGATACCATATGGACAGGTGGAGTGAGCGGCTTAAGAAGGAGATGGATCTGGAGATACAAGAGCTTGGAAGGTCAGTTGTAGACTGTTTCAAGAGGAGAGATGTGCAACTCGAAGAGTTTTCAGGCCTGCAATTTCACTTCTTCCACCCCTTTCTCCAGAGCAATGGAGAGAAAAGGAGAAAGAACTGGTGATCGTCTTATGGACAGTGTGATTGGAATGCACACCAAACCACCCGTGAAGATTGACTTTCCCAGGTATGAAGGTCTTGGGGAGGAAATGGATCCAGTTGCCTTCATAGAAAAATGTGAAGAGTTTCTGGCAGTCCGGCCCCTGAGTGACGCTGCAATTCTTGCTGCGCTCACCTCGGTTCTGGCTGGGAACAGCCAAGGATTGGTGGATGGCCGAAAAGGGGGCAGTCAGAACTTGGGGAAAGTTTAAGACAGCTTTCCTTAGGGCATTCCTGTCTGAAGATTATGAGGATGAAGCAGAGAGGCGGTTACGGGAGCGTACACAGGGTATCAATGAAAGCATATGGGATTTTGCTTACCAATACCGAGCTCTGTCTGAGGTGGAGAAAGGAATTTCTGAGAAAGAATTATTGCAGGCTATATTAAGGAACTGCAACCCCTGACTTGCAAGCCTCTTGAGGGGAAACGTCACTAGTGTCAACGAGCTGGTACACGTTGGAACCCTGATAGAGAGGGACCTTTCAGAAGCCAAACACTACTGGGAGAGAGTCAATCATGAGAGAGGAGGAGAGAGATCAGGTCACAAATCTAGCAAAAAACCACCTTTCAACACTGGCCAAACTACTGTGGTCCAGTACATCTCACAGCCGGTCAAATCTCTTACTTTACCTCTCGTGGTTCGGGGGCAACAACTTTCAGCCATGATTGACACTGGAAGTACCTTCTCGCTAATACAGGAAGCCTGCTGGAATGAAGTGAGAAAGAAGGGTGAACTTTGGAGGCCTAGCAATGGTCAAACATTCCCTCTGGCTAATGGGCAGAGCCAAGAAGCCAAGGGCAAAGTAGAGCTGGAATGTTGTTTGCATGGCTGCGAATCCCAACATCCGTTCTATGTGATGTCTAATCAAGATCTAGCCTTCCCAATCATCATTGGTTTGGACTTTTTGAGAACAACAGGTATTACATTAGACTTTCTGCATTCCAGTTATACTATGCCCACACTGGAGGATTCTTTCTCTTTCTTGGCAGACAAGCAGGTGGAGCCAGATGTCAGAGCAAGATTACACCTGTACCTGGCCAAGGACATCATGCCGCTTGACGATCCTGAGTTGCTTAACCAAATCAAAAATCTGGTGGAAGGAGCCAATGTGGGTACCCATGATAAGCAGAAGCTCCAGCAACTTTTGATCAGTTGGCCTTCAGTTTGCACCACGCGCCTAGGACATACCACTGCGGTGATTCACCGTATTACCACCGTGGATGAGTTGCCAGTGCGTCAGTGTCCGTATAGAGTCTCCATTGACAAACAGGAGCTCATCAAGAAAGAGATTGAGGTCATGGTTGAGAAAGATATTATAAGGCCCTCAACATCTCCATATGCATCTCCAGTTGTATTGGTGCCAAAAAAGGATGGAGGTGTGAGATTTTGTGTTGACTACAGGAGGCTCAACACCAAAACCCATCTAGATGGCTACCATATGCCTCAGGTTCAGGAAATTCTGGAGTCCCTTCATAGAGCCACTGTATTCAGCACCTTAGATTTAAGGAGTGGATATTGGCAAGTAGGACTGGAACCAGAAAGCATCCAGAAGACTGCTTTTACCACCTGCTGGGGGTTGTTTGAATTTACTGCCCTTCCCTTTGGCCTCAAAAATGCTGTGGCTACCTTTCAAAGACTTATGGAGTTTGTTCTGAGGAAGTTGAAGGGTCACTGCTGCTTTGTGTACATAGATGACATAGTTGTCTGCTCCACTTCAGTGGAGCAGCACTTACAAGACCTGGAGGATGTGTTCTGTTTTCTTCATGAGGCTGGGCTCACTCTCAATCTCAAGAAGTGTAACCTTCTGAAAAGGGAGCTCACCTTTTTGGGTCATGTGGTGTCAGCTAATGGTATCCGAACAGAGCACGGAAAGGTGGAAGCAATGAAGAACTTTCCTGAGCCTCGGTCTGTGAAAGAGGTACAGAGGTTTTTGGGGATGGCTGGATGGTACCATCGCTTCATGCCACGGTTTGCTGACAGAGCCGCCTGTTTGAACGCCCTGAAGAAGAAAGGTGCCACGTGGATGTGGACTGATAAGTGCCAAAGAGCCTTTCAAGACATCAAGCAGGCCTTGATCTCCTCACCAATCCTGCTGCCACCTGACTTTACAAAGGGTTTTCAAGTACAGGTTGATGCAAGTGACAAAGGGCTGGGAGCGGTATTCCTTCAAGAAGTAGAGGGACAAGAACATGTGATTGCATACACCTTCAGGCTTTTGAAAGGTGTTGAGCTGAACTACTTCAGAAAAGGAGTGTCTGGCAGTGATATGGGCCATTGAGAAGTGGAGAGTGTACTTGGAAGGGCAATACTTTGACGTGGTTACAGATCATGCTGCCCTGTCTTGGGTTTTTAATCATCCCAAACCCTCGTCAAGATTGACCAGGTGGGCAATCCGCTTGCAAGGATTTGACTTTACGGTCCATTATAGGAAGGGGAGGTGCAATGTAGTACCAGACACCCTGTCCCGTATCAGACCCGTATCCGAAGAAGGAATGGTAGCCACTTGTCAAGCCACAACACCCCATCAGTTGTCTTTTCCTGTTGACTGGGCCGAGATCTCCAAAGCTCAGGTAGAAGACTCCACCCTGGACCCCATGAGGAGGGATGCCAAAGGCGACAAACCACGAACAGATCGCATATGCTTTATCATAAAGCATGGGATTTTGTTTCATTCGGTTCCAGACCAACAACAAGGACAGACCTTGCAGGTGGTGGTTCCAACGGCACACCAAAGGGCCATTCTACAATATGCACATGATGCTTCTTTGGGTGGGCACCTAGGGAAGATGAAAACCTTGATGCAACTCCTGGACATGGCATACTGGCCAACAATTAGAAAAGATGTGTGGAACCATTGCAAGGAATGTGAAACCTGCCAAAAGTACAAACCCCGTATATCTAAACTTTCTGGCTTCATGCAATCTACACCAGTAGTTGAGCTAGGGTATATGTTAGGTATCAGCCTTTAAACTTGAAAGAAATAATGATTTGACATATATTGTGATATGTATCGATATCGAACGATTTTGAACGAGCTTGGTTTATCGTGATAACATTTTTATCCATATCGCCCAGCTCTAATTATGCTTTTATCAAGGTAAACTGATGCATTTATTGAGGTACATTGATGCACTTACTGAGGCGGACGTTAGCTTTGTATTCGCCAGCTTCTTTTTCAAAGTTGGTTACACATTCAAGCAGTCAACCACTGCGTTTAAGGCACCTCAGTGTAACTGCAGCACCATTTAAGGTGGAACCGAAAATTCAGATGAGAAGCTGGTGAATAAGAAGCTACTTCAGCTGTTTATGTTTGTTATTTAAGAGCTGTGGCTGCTTTGGTCACCACTTCTGTAAAATCTCACATTTCGGAATGTCCTGAGCTCTGGAGATGTGCAGGTTATACAGATTCAGTCCACCAATCTAGGCAGAAGTTTAGGCCTCCTAAGAAAGATCAGCACCAGATCTTTGTAGAGTTCATGAGAGACAAAGAAACTACGCTGAATAAAGGAGTTAATTTTGTCAGAGGAATTCAGGAGCTGTTCACCAGATGGTGTTGAAGTCTAATTGAATGAGAGAAAACTCTGAAGCTGCTGTGCTGGGTGATGACTTTGTTCAAGCAGGTTGACGTGGAGCCTCTTGAGCTGCCACATAACCAGTCTAAGTTGATTCAGTCGGGCTGGTCAGTTTTTTCCTTCGCCCCCAAATGAGTGTTTTTATTGCCATAAAACTGATCATTTAATTGCCAACGGTTCATCTTTAAAAAGGAAGAAAAAGAAGCAAAATCAGAGCTCCAATCCAGAGTGCGGCTTTAGTTAAAACAGCAGCTTCTGTTAGGTCTGTGGTGAAACTGAACAGTTCCTCTGATCCAAACCACCAGCCTTTTGTACTGAAAGGCTCTGTTTTGGTGTCAGATGAAGAGCAGATTCAAGCCCCCATCACATTTTTGTGTGATGCTGTTGCAGCACAATGGCTCCTTTTAGCTTTGACCATCTGGGGCTGGAATCACAAAAGCTTTCTTAAGAAAAAAACTTGCAAAGGTTATTAAGACAGATACTAAAAGTTCATTAGAATGGGCCTCGTTCTCCAACATCTTCCTAAGTTTGTTCTTAAATGTGTTCTTGATAAAGGTCCTAAGAAAAAGTCTACGTCAGATTCATGACGTGTTCTTGAAGTGCAGAACTGTTCTCACCTTTGTGCTCACGAGTGTGTGTAGATTCTGTTCTTACCTAAGAACAAATCCTACATAAGAGACACTGGTTGAGGGAGTTTTTCCTGGCTTGCTCACCTGGAGGATTTACATTTCATGTTGAAACTTTGTCCTTAATGGATTTCTGTGAAGCTGCTTTGTGACAACATCAGTTGTAAAAAGCGCTATACAAATAAATTTGACTTGACTTGACTGGTGAATGACAGAGTCTTCGTCAAAACTGCGTGAGGGGGTTTAAGAAGGAATTTCTTCTTAAGAATGGTTGGTGAATCAGGCCCAACGTTCTTAAATGTAGTTCTCGAAAAAAACACCTCTCAGTTTTTCTCGAACTTATTCAGTTCTCAGATATTCTCTCAAAATAATCTTAATTATATTCTTAAGATTTTCTTAAGAAAGTCGTCTTTGTTTTCTTATGTAGGCTTTGTTGCGTTTTACCACATACCATGAACGACAAAACATATGTTTTGAATTAGTATTCACTGTTATTTCTGTTATTTCGTTTAATCCACTCAGAGGAGTAAAGTGGAGGAAAAACAACAAACCAAGGGTTGAAAAAATGTAGCAAACAAGACGAGATAAACGAGGAAACAGCCAGCAGGAAAACCACCCTCACTGGAAAACATGATAACGGTGGGGTGACGGACGAGGATGACGAGCAGAGGCAGCGTCCAAGATGAGTTTACATTCTGACCTTGTCAACTCTTACAGCCTGAGTGTGAGAACGATAAGAACACATTTAAGAACATAATGTTTTCAAGAGAATCACTTATTCTTAGAATTATTCTTATGAAGAGTAAGACAAAAAATAAGAGAATTCTTAGAAGTGATTTGAAGAACAATAAGAAAAACACACATTTGAGAAGATTTTAAGACACTTCTGTGAATCCGGCCCCTGATCTGACAGAGCTAACGAGACCATAAAGCTAAAGAGCTAACAGGTAAACAAGCAACAGCTTCATACTGGGTTGAAAATACATGTATATCTAAAGAGCACATATCCTAAATTAATTCTTGTTTTCTTATTCATGAACGTTCATTTATGATGTGTGTGTGTGTGTGTGTGTGTGTGTGTGTGTGTGTGTGTGTGTGTGTGTAGTTTTATGCACCAAAAACAGCCATAATTCATTTTTACATAACCATTTTCCAACCTCACTTTGTCCCTAACAGCTAAACAGGCTAATATAGTACTAATACAGTTACACTGCCTTTAAGGTATATGCAAATGAGTTCAGTTCTGATTGGCTGCCTTCATTCAAAAAGCAGCCTGAGCTGAAACACTCCTTATAGATTCAGGGTGAGTGGGCAGAGCTAAGCTGCTGTAGACTGAACACATGAATAGATGTAAATGTGTTGGTTTTTGTGACATCACAAATACAGTTAATTGAAAATGAGCTGTTTTCGCAGCTTAGTTTTCATATATGGACTTTATGGAGTGTTTACATACTACATCAGACTTTTATTCTGAAAAAGTGTTTTCCATGATATGACCACATACAGGCTGCATATATCAATAACAAGTACGTCTAGAAATATGAAAATGCTCAAACTGCTGTATGATGACTATTTTTAAGTTGAACTGACAGTGTGGTGTAAAACCTAAGAGTGGGAATTAATAAAGTCCCCAAAACACACACATACACACACACACACACAACACACACACACACACACACACACACATATATATATATATATATATATATATATATATATATATATATATATATATATAATGAGCTATGATATGATTCTATTGTGATTATTAAAGATGTGTGATTTGCTAAGTATTGTACTTTATTGTTCATCTCACTTCAGTGTTATTTTTATTATTGAGGCAAAACAAAACAGTAAAGCAGACAAACAACATTCAAAACAGTCCTTATATTTACATATTTATCAGATGCTTTTAGACAAACAACATTTAAAACAGGCTTATATTAAAGGCCTTAAATGCCTGTCAGGGACCTTATCAGAGAGGGGAGCTCCTCAGCACCACCTGGTGGACTAAGAGAACAATGGATTTTTGGGTCTTTTTAGTCCCACAGCAATCCAGTACAAAAGTGGAGGAACTTATTTTACACGCACATTGATATAAACAAGTACAAACTATTCCATGTTCCATTTAAAGGGGAGATGAATATCTCTGCAGGTTGGTGCCCTGGTCCTCCCACATTCTGGACCTTCAGGGCTTTCTAGATCTTCAGAGAAGGCTTAATGATTTCTGTGAAATAAAAAGAAACCTGTTTGTAATTTTATCTCATGTTTATTTATAATTTTCAAGTTTGTTGTATTCAATCTCTGCATGAGCCGTAGTCTAAGCAGTGTTTCAGGTAGTTGTTAGGAATGTAAAACAGTGGCTGCAGCTCTGTGTCAAAACTCTTTACTGAGTCACTGTAAAACTGATACATACAAGTTCAGATATATGATATCTGTTACAAAGTTCTGATAAAATATATTAAATGTCTTTTACAAACTTCAAATGTCTGTGTTTAATCTAGAACATTCAAACATATGTATTGTGAATAGCATTGTTTTAGAGGTGAGTGTTGACATTTACGACTTGAACCGAAGGCCGAGCTCTAGTAGTCCAGTAGTTGTGGTCACTGGTAAACAGTTATGGATCTTTATAAATGTCCAAACACACGGCAGAGCACAGCCCAGCCTGCAGATCTTCAGAAGCTATTTGGTTTAGACAAAATTGCACAATTTATTTTATTTTTTTATTTTTTAATTAAACAAATACTAAGATGAGTTCATATATCCACAGGGTCAAACAGAACCAATTATTTGTTTTAAAATTTGAGACATTTGAAAACAACAGTAAGTTGCATCGCTATGATAGTTTGTCTCATAAATGCCACAGACTTTATTGCATAGTGATCATGAAAACAGTAATAACTCTTGGTAAAACACTGACACCATAAGTAATACTACATTGAGAGAATCATCAAATAATTTACTAATAATAACACTTATAAAAATGTAAATATTTATAGATTTATACATGATTTAGCTTAATGTACATCCTTAAAGTGCAATTTAGTCGAATATATGAATTAAAAACACATGATTGATTAACATCAGAGCTGTAGCGATAGAAATATTTCATATGTTGAAGTGAGTAGTGCACAACAAAAGCAAACTGGTTTCTCATTGGTCAGTCAGTCAGTTTGGGACAGGTGACTCCTCCTGGCTGGCCTCCAGATTTCATTCCCAGCAGGAGTTCTCGTATTTCTTGGATCTGGGGTTTGTTTTGTGAGACCTGCTCCTGTGTCTGGTGCGAATGCTGCAGGTCTGTTCGTACATCTCGTCCTCATGTTTACTGCCCTCGCTCTTCTTCCTTCTCCCACGTGGATCTTCATCATCCTCCTCTTCTTTGTCCATCAGATGCTCAAACATGGTGCTCAGGTCGTCTGCACACTTCTTGCCCGCTGGACTGTCGCTTGGCCTCTCTCTGCCCGCTCTGAGCCTCGTCTTCATGTCATCGTCCAGCTCGAGCTCCACGGCTTCCCTCAGTTGCTGGTAGAGCTGCCGAGCGCAAGGGGCTCTGGCCAGCAGGGATTCTGTAGTGATGCCCCTCTTCAGCTCCCGGGTTACGCCGTGTACCAGCACCCCACTGTACAACCTTAACAGCAGAAAACATTATTCAGTTATTAATCTTGAGAAGCTCTGTAACCACTAGTAAATGTTATTAATTATTCAGTAACTACTATTAATTATTCACTATCTACTATGAATTAGGAGCTATGATGAATTAATCATTAACTGTAATGAATAACTCAGTATCCACCATGAATTATTCAGCATCTACTATGAATTATTCATTACCCATTATGAAATATTCAGTAACCACTATGAATTATTCAGTATCTACTATGAATTATTCATTACCCATTATGAAATATTCAGTAACCACTATGAATTATTCAGCATCTACTATGAATTATTCATTACCCATTATGAAATATTCAGTAACCACTATGAATTATTCAGTATCTACTATGAATTATTCAGTATCTACTATGAATTATTCAGTAACTACTATGAATTATTGAGTATCTGATTTCAGTAAGATTCCCTGAACATTATGAAGGAACAGGCTGTAAAACATATTTATAATAGAAACCAGCTTCTGTTATAATATTATAATTCTATGATAATTTTGAGTCAGTGAGTTTTCTGTTCTTTTTTAAGTTCGGAGAAACGAGTCAAGTTTATTCTCAATAGTAAACGACATTTTGAGTGTTTGGGTTGAAACAGTGCCAGAATATTCCTTTATGTTCCTTTAACCTGTTCTAAAGGCTAGCGGTGAATCATAACCACTGCCCCCCCCCCCTTTTTTTTCTCTTTCTCTTTTTAGTTTTGGTTTGCCTCCTTCGTAAAACTCCTTCTCTTAATGTTTGAGTGTTTTGTGTTTTTTCTCTTGGTTGCTATTTCATGCACACCTGCATCCTGGCGCAGGTATTAATCACACACATGGTGAGATGTATCACGCTTAAGTGAGTCATAATAAGACAGAAGTGGTGATTATTCAGCTTAGAAGGTGTGGAAGGAGGAGGTGGTGTTTACCGTGCGTATTCTGGTTCAGGCACTGGATTGTTCAGCAGCTGGTTGAGGCAGATACTGTCCCTCAGACTGCCCTGCCACTGACTGTAAGCGTGAGCTGCCTCCAGGTCCAGAGGAGTCTCCTCTTTACGGCTTTTCAGGTTCCTCAGCCTTTTTGGCAGCTCTGCAGAGCAGGAAGGGAAAAAAAATGATATGAGTGAAGCACAGAATCTAATTAATTCACCTCATTAACAAGCCGGCTATTGTTTATATTACATTGCAAGCACTGGAACAGGGTATTTAGTCAGCCAGCAGCTGATGGAAAGTGAAGAAACTAAATGTGGCCCCATTTCAGTTGTCAAATCAAAATCGCAATTTAAGGAAATGCAATTTTGAAATAGCGATTTTTTTAAATCATAGCCTACATTATCAAAAAAAGTTTTAAGTGGGGACGTTTAACCTAAAACACAGAGTTTGTTGCTAGTTAGACCAATCAGAGGCAGCCAAACCTCTATCTGTTGTGACATCACAACCACAACTTGCTAGCTGTCTGGCGCACAACATTAGGGGTCGAGCCTTAAGCTAGAAAAAGTGGTTTTATTGTGTTGTTGGTAACAGGTCTGAAAATCAATTTATAGTAAATAATCGGAATTTATATCACTTAAGTCGCAATATGATTGATAAAAATCGCAATTAGATATTTCCACCAAATCATTCAGTACTATTTTCACCCTTCATTGCTCACTAGCAGCTCAACACACATCATAACATTTATGAGAGCTAACCGACTCCGTGTTCACCTGATAACAGAGTTACAGGACAAAATATGTGATCTAATTACATTAATGAGAAATATCAATAATAATAATGAGTCCAACAGCGGAATGGTCTCTAGGGGGCACTGCAGAAAGAGGTTAAACACTCGTCTCATTGACTTTCTTTGTTACAGAAGATTTTGCCAGAGTCAACTTCAAAATTGATTCTGGAAAATAAAGCCAGTTCTAGATGTCTCCTGACCTCATCCCCGGACAGTCAAGGGAAGGTCAGTGAGAAAAACAAATGCAGGTGGAAGCTGGAAACTGTAGTAAAAAAGATGGTTCTTCAAGGGTTCTTTAGTAAAGAAAATGGTTCTATATAGAACCATGAACACTCAAAGAACCCTTTGCATGATTAAAGGGTTCTTTGCATCATGAAAAGGTTCTTCAGATTGATGGAAAATAGATAGTTCTATATAGAACCTTTTTGAAAAGGGTTCCATATAGCACCCAAAAGGGTTCTTCTGTTGTTACAAACTTGACATCATAACAATAGAACTGTATGTAACCTTTTGGGTTCTGTATAAAGCATTTTTTTCAAAAGGTTCAATATAGAACCATCTACAGCACATTCTCCGTCAATCTGCAGAACACTTTAACAATGCATTTGATCAGGCAAAGTGTTCTTTTGAGTATTTGTGGTTCTATATAGAACCATTTTCTTTAATAAAGAACCCTTGAAGAACCATCTTTTTTAAGTGTCCCTGCAGAACACCACAGATTAAAATGGGCTGAAAGGCTGTAAAGCTGATATTACAGCAGAGTAAACGTTATAAGAGAATTTGACCCTGTTCACTGAGACGCTGGATTACAGTACCTTATGCCTTGATCATGATTTATTAAAGCCAGAGAAGCTGTATATTCACCTTTCTCTGTAAGTGGATCTCTGGACAGCTCTCCGTACACCAGGCCGACCAGCAAGGCCCAGAAGAATTCTGGTTTGGGCTCAGGCTGGGCGTGCTTCAGCCAGTAGCATGTGACGTACACAGCCAGCTGCAGGCTGGGAAGGACGAGGAGCCGCTCAGGTACTTGCAAAACGCCCAAAGTGTCCAAGAAAATCCGGAGCCGCAAATGCCAGGATGTCTAGAAGATAAAAGAACAGCCTTAATGCAGCTGCACTGGGAAACTGTAATGTTGTCGTGTGTGTGTGTGTGTGTAGACAAACCAATGTTTTGTGCATCATGCTAAATTACATTTACAGCATTTGGCAGACGCTCTTATCCAGAGCAACTTACACTTTTACATTTTACACAGGTAGGTGACGGTAGTGTTAGGAGTCTTGCCCAAGGACTCTTATTGGTATAGTATAGGGTGCTTACCCAGCTTACCCAGAGGTGTTACCCACTACACTACACCAACCACCTATTAGTGTTTTTATCATCCTATTACCACATATTAGCTTTAACTTAGTCTTACAAATATGTGCCTCAGCCTGCATGAGTGCTTTCTTTCTCTGAAAGAAGAGGTTTTCTACAGTTCTGACTTACAACATTAATACATAACATAAGCATTGCTGGCTTATTAGGTCTGCCTCCCTTCTACATTCATTGGCCATTTTATCAGAAATGTCTACAGTATACAGTGGGGTGCGAAAGTTTGGGCAGCCTTGTTAATTTTCCTGATTTACCTTTATAAATCATTGATTGTTTGGATAAAAAAACTTCATGAAATATATCATATAGGGGACAAACACAGTGATACTTGAGAAGTGAAATGAAGTTTATATGATTTACAGAAAGTGTGCAATAATTGGTTAAACAAAAGTAGGCAGGTGCATAAATTTGGGCACTGTTGTCATTTTATTGATTTCAAAACCTTTAGAACTAATTTTTGGAAATCAAATTTGGTTTGGTAAGTTCAGTGACCCTTGACCTCCATACACAGGTGACTCCAATTATGAGAAAGAGTATTTAAGGGGGGCAATTGTAAGTTTTTCTCCTCTTTGCGTCTTCTCTGAAGAGTCGCAGCATGGGAGTCTCAAAACAACTTTCAAATGACCTGAAAACAAAGATTGTTCACCGTCATGGTTTAGGGGGAGGATACAGAAAGCTATCTCAGAGATTTCAGCTTTCAGTCTCCACTGTGAGAAACATTGTGAGAAAATGGAAGACCACAGGCACAGTTCAAGTCAAGGCTCGAAGTGGCAGACCAAGAAAAATCTCGAATAAACAGAAGCGAAGGATGTTGAGAACAGTCAGCGTCAACCCACAGACCAGCACCAAAGACCTACAACATGATCTTGCTGCTGATGGAGTCACTGTACATCGTTCAACTATTCGGCGCACTTTACACAAGGAGATGCTGTATGGGAGAGTGATGCAGAGGAAGCCTTTTCTCCGCCCACATCACAAACAGAGCCGCTTGAGGTATGCTAAAGCACATTTGGACAAGCCAGCTTCATTTTGGAATAAGGTGCTGTGGACTGATGAACCTAAAATAGAGTTATTTGGGCATAATAAGGGTCGTTATGCATGGAGGAAAAAGAACACAGCACTCCAAGAAAAACACCTGCTACCTACAGTAAAATTTGGTGGTGGTTCCATCATGCTGTGGGGCTGTGTGGCCAGTACAGGGACTGGGAATCTTGTTAAAGTTGAGGGACGCATGGATTCCAATCAATATCAGCAGATTCTGGAGATCAATGTACAGGAATCAGTGACAAAGCTGAAGCTGCGCCAGGGCTGGATCTTCCAACAAGACAACGACCCTAAACACTGCTCAAAATCTACTAAGGTATTCATGCAGAGGAACAAGTACAACGTTCTGGAATGGCCATCTCAGTCCCCAGACCTGAATATTATTGAAAATCTGTGGTGTCACTTAAAGAGAGCTGTCCATGCTCGGAAACCATCAAACCTGAATGAACTAGAGATGTTTTGTAAAGAAGAATGGTCTAAAATACCTTCAGCCACAATCCAGACTCTCATTAGAAGCTATAGGAAGCGTTTAGAGGCTGTTATTTCTGCGAAAGGAGGATCTACTAAATATTGAGTTAAGGTTTTTTTTTTGGTGCCCAAATTTATGCACCTGCCTAATTTTGTTTAGACAATTATTGCACACTTTCTGTAATTCATATAAACTTCGTTTCACTTCTCAAGTATCACTGTGTTTGTCTCCTATATGATATATTTAACGGAATTTTTTTATCCAAACAATCAATGATTTATAAAGGTAAATCAGGAAAATTAACAAGGCTGCCCAAACTTTCGCACCCCACTGTAGGTGCACTTTGTAGCTTTACACTTGTCCACTCAGAGAATGTATCCTACGTAGTGGCTGCACAGACTTGTCGACTTTACTGCTCGGCGACGACGCTTTAAGCTGAGGTCGACTAGTCGCTGATCACTTGATTATGACACTAACAATACAGATGTCTCAGAGAAGACAGCAGGTGAGGAACCTGATGATTTCAGGGTCCAAATCTCTGGTTTCCTGAAGGCTAGCAGGGGAAGGGAGCATCACGTTCTACCGACCTGTGAAGTTTCTCTGTTGATCTTCAGTGCTTCAAACATCACATACTGAACATTGTTATCTCTGGTTTCCGGAGTGTGGTTGGAAAGGGGGTATAACACCAGTCAGTTACTCTTATTTTTGCTGAGTTACAGAGCTCTAAATTTCTCTGGCTCTCCGGACCTCCGGACCAACATTTTGGCAAGGCCGGTTAGGGTGCGCCTAAGTCAGATACAAATTTGTGAGATTCTGGGGTTTGTATCTCTGGTTCCCTGAAGGCTAGCGACATGTTCCAGGGTTCGTTGGAAAGTTTTATTCATGACATCGTCAGTGAGTAGACAACATCAACTCAAGTTTCATGATATAAATGTCGAAGTTTAAAAGTCATGCACCCCCTAATCCTAGGTAGGAATAGGTGACAATACAGACTACCCTTGAGTTCTGCCAGAAACACTGCCAGAAACAAGTCTATTGTGATTCCTTGTACTGCATAAGTGCAACACAAGATATTTCAACATGCTGGATTAGTTTTCATTTCCTGTTTTTTATGATATTTTGTTGTTGCCATTCAATTGGGATACCTTTAAAGAAAAAGGGTAAGAAATAATGACTTGAATCTTTAAATTTTACACCAAAAGCATTTTTTTCCACAACATAGACCCAATCACACTTTAATTAAGCTCATTTTTCAATGTGAAATCTTGTTTAATCTTACTTTTAGGGCCTTGTGTTTTTCAAATATATAATATATATTTTTGTACATGCATTACTGTTATAATTTGGGTTCCTAGGACTCTTGTGCCCAGGGGCCTTGCAAGACCATGATCTCTTCTTGGGACCACCTCCCTGGTCACTAAATTGATTGCACAGTTACAGATGAGCTATAGTCTACAACTGTACACCTACAAAGTGCACCTGGATGGCAGACTGTTACCTTTTCCTGATTTCTGCCTTTCGACCGTGGTCATGAGGCTCAGGGGAGCTGCTTCACCTGCTAGCTCCTGGGCCAGAACGGCTTCAGCTTTTCCACCCGTTCTGGGGTAATACCCAAACTTTAGTTCATTTCCACCGCAAAGACAGGTCAAAGGCAGAATTACCCCAAAGAATTGGGTGTTTATTGCAGACAGCTTAGGCATAACACAAAAATAAAAACGAGTGGCTGTGTTAAATAAAAGAAAAAGGAGCGGAGGAGCGAGAGAGGAAACTTTACGTGCTGCTCGAGGCTGCAGCACCCGGCGACTACTACAGCATGCACTACAATATCCACAATGCACTGCGTTTCCAAAGCATTAACCCCTTACATTCCCAACAAGATGTTTCTGATAAAACTGCCAATATTACAAGGTGGGTGGACAAATTAAACTGGTAACTGAGTGTGATCATCTTCACCAACCATAATGAAGCATCTACTGCTTTACCTCCCACAGTGTGTCCAGGTGAAGGTCTGGAATGGTCAGGCTTGGAAGGACTGCTGCAACCCTGGAGCTGGTTAGCTTTAGCCCCTCCCGGTCATACTCCTCTACCTCTGCTTCAGGTGAGTCGTCCCCACTGCCATTTTTCTGCCTGGTGCACAGCAGTAAGCCATAAATGACCTGTCGTATGGGCTGGGAGGTCAGATTGCTGCTGCAGAGCTGAAAATTCTCAACAGAAATGTTTAGAATGATCTTCTGCATTGCTAGGACATCAGTGATCATGGAGTTGAGCTTGCCCTTGGCCAAAGGCTCGAGGGTCCATTCCGGCAGGCTCTGTAAAGGACCTGGAAGCCTGCTCTGTGGTTTCTCGCTTATGAAGAACTTAGCTATGGAGCTTGGAGCGAGGCTGTAGACCTGAAGTCCTTCAGTGAGAGCTTTGATGACAGTAGCCGAATCATCTGAGTTTGTGAGGCAGCCCATGAGGGCACAAATGGCCTCTACTGGGCCCTCAAAGCCGGACAGCCACTTGAGCAAGCCATCAACATACCTGATCTCTTCAGCACTAACTGAGAACTCCGCCCAATTTGGAAACATTCCTCTGTCCAGGTCAGTGTTGTTGATGCCCAAGATGGTGGCCAAAATAGGGAGAAGTTGTTTGTTCATGCAGCTGAAAGTGCCACAAAGTTTTTCAACTGAAAACAGTTTGGCGGGAATGAATTTTTTGTCAGACCTCTTAGTCAGCATCACGTTCCTCCACTGGAAACAATAAAGGGGTAAAAACCCTCCCTTGATGTCATATATGTAGAAGTCAGTGTTGTTGGACAGAACCGGGCAGTTCCACTCGTTGGCCAAAGCTGCGGCCTCCCAGTCAGCCTTGGCAACACACTGAATAAATGGCACCTTGAGCTTCCTGAGGAGCTGAATGAACACAGTTTTGATGAGGATTGGTAGGACGTTTCGGGGACACCCTCTGGACAAGGAATGAGCCTTTTTGATTCTGATGTCAGCTCGTTTCTTCAGGGCGCCAAACGTTTTGTCACTGATCTCATCCTCTCCACTGAGCACAACGTAAGGCTTAATGGCGCATTCTCTGAGGTTCCTAAAGAAACAGCTCACCGCTTTCTCAAAACCTTCATATTCTCCGCCGTGTTCTTGATCCAAGTGAGAGGCGAAGTAAACAGTGTGGTATAAATTGCATCCATCAATCACGAGCTTGCTGTCTCTGAAGTGGTGCTTCTTCAAGATACACTTTTTACTCTCAGTGTAGCTCTTCAGCTCATTGACTGCCATGATGCCCAGTTTTTCACACTTTAAATTTCAACAGAAAAAATATATATAAAATGAATTCAGGTTTTACATCCAGTATGACTTTCAGCAAAGTTACATGATACAGGTTTCACATACATATTAATTGGATGAGTTCAGCAAAAGTGAGACATTAGGTAAAGTGGGATGAATAGGCTTAATGCTGCGCTACTCTTTGAGTGACAGGAGCCAAGCAAATGTAACAATTATGAATCATTACCATAAGAGTGCTTGTCATTCGGCCTTTGTTTTTATTGGCCTGGCACCATTGTTGTGGGTGTGGCCATAGTATGAAATGCGTCTGATTCCACCAAGCACAAGATTAAAACGCCTTTATTATGCAATTTTAGGATTTATAGACTAGAACTCAAACATAAATAGCTTTTCTTGTATAATTTTTAAAGAGATGGCCAGTATAAAACAATATATTGTCACAAAATTATTTCACAAAGTGGGTTTAAGTACCGTTGCACTGTTGCTGGACATGCTACAGCTTTAAAAAGATGGTTCTTCGAGGATTCTTTAGTACAGAAAATGGTTCTATGTAGAACTGTGAACACGATTAACGAGTTCCTTGCATTGTGAAAGGGTTCTTCAGAATGTGCTCTAGATGGTTGTATATAGAACCTTTTTAAATAGGGTTCTATATGGAACCAAAAAGAGTTCTTATATCGTTACAATGTCAAGCTTGTAACAATAGAAGAACCCTTTTTGATGCTATATAGAGCCCTATTCAAAATCGTTCTATATGCAACCATCTACAGCACAGTCTCCTTCAATCTGAAGAACGCTTTCATCATGCTAAGGTTCTTAGAGTTGTATAGAACCACTTTCTTTACCAAAGAACCCTTGAAGAACCACCTTTTTTAAGTGTGTAGGTGATGCGAGCCACCGGTGTTTTTTAGTATTTATTATTAGCACATTTTTAGCAGTCTTTGAAAGAACACACAGCAGTCCTGCTCCTCACTCCACCACTCTGAGTGGGCTGAACTCTACCTTTTCATGAAAATGTTGCAGTATATTTTCATTACACCCACATACTGACCCCTGTTAACATGTGATGACCACCGTGGAGTGTAACAGTTATCAGTGTATTCATAACAGGCCTAATTATGTATGTACATGCACCTGTTATTGTATTGTGCGCGTACAGGTACCAGTTATCGTGGATAATTCATAACAGGCCTAATTATGTAAGTACAGGTACCAACATTAGCTGACTGCTGTCAGCCTACCTTTCTGACTACAGGCCAAAGATAATCTGTGGAATCATCAGGGCCAGATTTAGATTAGCATTATCAAGGTATTTGTCCGTACAATGTTTGCGAAGGGTTTTATGGCCACGAAGATCTAGAAAAACAAATTCGACAGTCCAGTGTTGTTCACCTTGGCAACGCACGTCCATGAATTTGAGTTCAAAATGAACAATCAGTCTCCAGACTTGCATACTGCACCTTTTAACCATAACAGTCATATACATATATATGCATGTATCGCTGCTGTTGGAACAAAACCTAATTTGAAAATGCCTGTTGCCCTTTACCGTTTCGCATATGCTATCTCAGGGCAGGCCCCCAAGCACAAATTCAGTATTGTTCCGACCCGCACTCTTCTGTTTGTCTTTTTTTCCATCCTTCGTTTCTACCATAGACTCCCATTCATTTTTGCCACCACGCACAAAGTCTATTACTTCTTTGCCCAACAGCCACCAATCCACATGTCCTCACTCAGGGCAGGTCCTCAAACTCTAATCCACAGCCACACTGACCCGCACTCCTCTATGTGTCATTTTTTCATCCCTTGTTCCTCACATAGACTCCCAGTTATGATGAATAGACCAAATAGACAGTAAAAGGAAAGTATGTTTTGTTCTTCTTTCCAATATATATATATATATATATATATATATGTGTGTGTGTGTGTGTGTGTGTGTGTGTGTGTGTGTGTGTGTAATCAGGAACTGAACTGGCTAAAGTTTGTTATTTATTCAGTCAAATTTGAAATGTCCTGTTGCTTTGCATAGGATATTATAATCCTGCCTGCAGGCTATAACAAATATATTTTCTATTAGCTTAAAGCACTGTCCTACTTTTGAAGACAAACAAAGTCTGTCCCACCTGAAAAAACAAACACCTTGAGTGCTTGACTGTGTTGCAGTGCCTGTAATATCCAAATAGAACCTCAGTTCTAACAGTTTAACACATTTGCATGGCTTCCTCATAAAAGCACAGCAGATATGAATATACGAATATATAAGCCTTTTGAGTTTTTGAGTTCACCCTAATGCGACTCCTACAGGCCTGCAGGGTTTATCCCGCTGCTGTTCAGGGTCACTAATGCAGCAAAGAGCAGATACATAAGCATATGTATAGCTGTGGTGTCCCGCCGAGGTGACCGCACAGCACACACAGCAGGTCACTGCATCAGTAACGGAGTATGTCAGACTGAAAATGTTACATTAAAGTAGATCATAACTCACCTGTTCATGCAGAAAATAATAAGCGCTCGCGCTGCCGGGAGCTCGCGCCGCCTGCGGTCCTGCTCGTGTCCGCGCGGGGCGCTATTTATACGGACAGAACGGAAAGCGAAACTGCGTCACGCGCAGGAAAGCGAAACTTAAAGAAAGCGGAGCCTGAACTGGGAAGAAAACGTGACGCTCAGAGCATCATCTCTTATAAACCTTCACAGCCTTCCAGCCCACTTTCCTCAAAGGTTCTTTAGTAAAGAAAATGGTTCTAGATAGAACCATGAACACTCAAGGAACCCTTTGCATGATTAAAAAAGATGGTTCTTCAAGGGCTCTTCAGCCAAGAAACTGGTTTAGATAGATAGAACCATGACCACTAAAAGAACCTTGATTTGCATGATTAAAGCATCATGAACTGGTTCTTCAGATTGATGGAGAATGTGTTATAGATGGTTCTGTATAGCACATTTTAAAAAGGTTCTGTATAGCACCAAAATGGTTGCACTGTTGTTACAAGCCACAGATCCCTTTTTTGGTACTATATAGAACCCTTTTTGCAATTAGTGAAGCTTTTAGCTTACACACTTTAAAAAGATGGTTCTTCAAGGGTTCTTTAGCAAAGAAACTGGTTCTGTATAGAACAATTTGCACTCAGACAACCCTTTGTATGATTAAAGGGTTCTATGCATGGTTAAAGGGTTCTTTAGGTTGATGGAGAATGTGCTGTTCTATATAGCACATTTTTGAAAAGGGTTCTATATATCGCCAGAAAGCGTTCTTCTATTGCAAGCTTGACATCATAACCGTAGTAGAACTCTTTTTGGTGCTATGTAGCTTGTCTTGGTGAGTCAACACGTATCACATGTAACACACTGAACAGTATCAAACTGAGGGAAAAGTAAAATAAAATAAGTAGAATATAGAATAAAGAATAATAATAAAGAGGAGCCAAAATATCTGACACACAGCTGGTCAGGCTGTAAACAGAGTCTTGATTATCAACTGGAATGGAAATGCATTTGTGTGTCATCCGCGTATGAAAAATTATGTTTCCTAATGACATCACCTAGAGGCAACTAAAAAGAGAAAAAAAAAAGGAGAAAAGCAAAGGCCCTAAAACTGAACCTTGAGGGACTCCACAAAAATGTTGATGATGATTTCCCAGAAACTAAGAACTTTCTGATCATTAAATATGATTTAAACTATTCTAAAACTGTGCCCAAGAGGCCTACCCAGCATTCAAGACGGTGGATTAGAGTCTTGTGATCAATGGTATCAAAAGCTGCACTAAGATCTAATAAAACCAGAATAGAAGGACTTTGTGCATCAGCACTGAGCCTGAGGTCATTCACAACACTAACCAATGCTGTCTCAGTATTATGGTTAGAACCAAAACCTGACTGAAACTTCTCATATAAATTGTTTGATAATAGAAACACATCTAATTGCTTCAAAAAAACTTTTTCAATGTTACACATCATACACAAAAGTTCACTGCTGCATCATTGTTGTTGTTCTTCTTCTTCTTTTGGAGCCCTTTCAGTGGTTTCTACTGACCACAGACCTAAAGTCTGTGGTTGGAGCTTATTTCTCTGTCTGTATAGCACTCACACATGGAGAAATAATTGCTCCAGTGCTGCTGGGGGGCTTTATACCCGTGTAGCCCATGCTTGGCATTGGGCATGGGGACTTTGTGTACTGAGAATATTTCTGCACAATTAAGAGGTTAAGATGTAAACAGAGTCGTTCAGAGTAGTTTGATATGAAACACTTCATTCTAGAGAAACTTCCCAAGCCAGAACTGTTCACAGTGGTGGTGATAGGAACCAGACTTCCACCTCTAAAAGCTCCCTCACAGAAAGTTATTATATGAAATGGTCATGAATTCACTGCCTGATGACTGAGACATTATGATAGATATAATGTACATGCAGGTTACTGTGAGGCAAATAGTCCCCAAAGAAAACTTATTATTTCAGATTTTCCACTATTTTCCATCATCAACATTCCATATAAACTCAGAAGACTCGTGTAGGTTCACTGGTGGTTCTGGATAGTAAATAAAATGTCTATATTTGTGTTGTAGTCATGGCGACCCCTGGTTCCTATCACCACCACTGTAGAGAGATCTATATCTCTACAGTCATATTAAGCATGGTTGAAAACAGTCACTCTAAAATTCATGTAATTATTGTTTTTTGGATAATTTCCTGCTTCTTGATTTTCACAAACGATTCCTCCAAATAGAAGCCTGGAAAGACGGGTCCTGAGGCTTTTATACTGAATCTGTGCAGGAGACCCTCCTCTGCGGTGAGGAAACTCAGCGTTTTCTGCCCACAGTCCAGGTGGACCTGTATGAGCACTGGGGCTTGCTTTATGGTGCTGAGTTTGGGGTTGGAGTAACGCTTGTGTCCCTCGAACGCCTGGAGCTGGCGGCCATCCCAGCGCAGAGCCCAGCTGATGCAGGAGTCCACCCAGGCCTGGTCACGGCTCTTACAGGTGACCCCCACCTCCCACCTGCGAGTCCCGCCCACCTCCACCTGCCAAGCGTGCTCTCCTCTGGACAGACCCTGACCACACAGCACCTGCGGGTGCAGCCGGAAACGCTCCGGATGAGCCGGATGGGGCAAAGGACGGGCCACCCACTGGGCAGATAAAAGGTCGTCAGATATGCTAATGTTACAGTGGGCCGTGTTTGGATCCAAGGTGAAATGGGTGGAAGGTTTCAGAGTGGGGGAACGGACTGGTTTTGGTAGCACAGAAGGCTTTGAAGTGGTGGAACTGATTGTTTTCTGCGGTGTCAACCGTGGAGGCTCCATTAGCGTGCTTTTCTCCTGCCTTAGTTTTTCACGTATCCCTTTGCTAAGATTCCTCACAGCAGCTTGACCATGTTGCTTTAGCTGACCAGTAATAGTCCTGTCCAGCTCCCGCTTCTCCACACGGCATAGTGTGGCGCGTTTATCTGCATTTAGCATCCTTTCCAGCACCCCATCGAAACGGTCCATGAAGTCTTTGCTGGATATCTCTTTTTCCACCAGTCCGTTAGCCTCCGTGATTAGCCGTGCTAACTCCTCTCTCTTCTTCTCCACCTCCCTGGTGCGAGACTCTAAATGTGTGAGAGACGTTTCCCTCTCGTTGTCAACTAGAGCTAAAACGGTCTCCTTCTCAACATTGAGAGTCTCTTGTATGTCATTAAACAGCTGTATCACCTGCTCCCTCAGGTTAGCACGATCACTGGTTAGCCGTGAGCTAGCAGCCTGCAGCCATTCCGCATTGGTCTGCATTTGCTTCTGTGAATCCTCCAGGTTCCTGATGTTTTCTTTCAGAACGTCCATGCTAACAGCTTTAGCGTCCTCCAGCGGCTGGTACTGGTGGGTTTTGTGCTCCTCCAGGCAGGATGTGCAGAGACAGGCCTTGTGCTCCTTGCAGAAAAACTCCCAGGGCTTCCCGTGATTAGCGCACACTTCTGTCCTCATTAGCACACACTTAGCATCTCCGGCGCTTCGCTGCACTGTAAAAAAATGAGAAAAATTAAAAAATTGAAATTGAAGTGTGAGATTTGCATCTGATGAAATACACTGTTAATTAGTGTTGTTTCTATTATTATGAAAACTTCTTGTAGGTTCGTGTAGGTTCACTGTGGTTTTGGATAGTAAATAAAATGTCCATATTTGTGTTGTAGACATTGCAACCCCTTGTTCTTATCACCACCACTGTTAAGAAATCAAAGTCAGCAAGTTTCTCTGCAGAAATTTTGAAAAACTGGTGAAATTCTCTTTTTCTTCCCCTCCTGGTTTGGTTCAAAGCACTAAGGCCCAGTCCCATTTCTTATTTTTACTCCTACCCCTTGTTTTTGAGTGTCACCTTGCCCCGTGGAACTGAGTTACAAGGGGTAGTGGCTGAAATCTTCCCTATGAAATGAGACAACCCTTCTAGAACAAGAGTCAGGACACCCTACCCCTAAACGAAGGACTAGGGCTAAGTGGTAAGGGAGAGGGGTGAGAAGGGATTGGGCCTAAGATTTGATATGTAAAAGTCAGGTCTGCCAGCCTTGTAAAGCTCACCTGACATCACCTATTGCGTAAATACCACATTTATAACAGGACATTTGGATGATTTCAATAAAATCAATTAAACTACTTACTACAAAACACCTGTAAGGAAAGGGCCTCGGCTCTGTACTTAGTATTTTTCAAAAATTCTACATAATTAAATGGTTAAGATGTAAACGGAGTCGTTCAGAGTGGTTTGGTGTGAAACGCTCTGTTCTAGAGAAACTTACTGAGTCAGAACTGTTCACAGTGGTGGTGATAGGAACCAGACGTCCACCTCTAAAAGCTCCCTCACAGAAAGTTCCTACATGAAATGGTTATGAATTCACTGCCTGATGACTGAGACACTGTTTTATGATAGCTATGAAAAGGTTTTGGCCTTAAACATATATTTAAAAGAAATCTATTCATGGAGGGGTACATGCAGGGTGTTGTGAGGCAAAATAGTCCCAAAATATCTTACTTTTTTAGAATCACTGCTTTTTTTTACCATCATCAACATTACATATTAACCTCTTAAGTGACCAGAGCCCACCAGCAGGCCCAAAGCTTTATTACACACTACTATAATGTAAGAATAGCTCAGCCAGTTTTCAATGAAGTCCCTGTAGTTACTGAATAATAAGCCTTAGTGTGTAATAAGCCTGAAATATTAAGGTTTTAAAACATGTAGGTTCACTGATGGCTTTAGTAAAATGACTATATTTGCATTGTGCACATCGTGACCTCTGGTTTGGTGACTTGATATATAAAAGTAAAGCCTCTCTAACGCAAAATAAACAAACCTTTATTGCAGCCTATGCAAATGACCTCGCTCTTTTTTTCAGCGTTTACAGGTATGCAATAAAGCCAGCCTTTTAAAAGGCTGACTGCTCAATAGACACAAACACAAACAAGACAAACAGGTTCACAGGCCACACAGGTTGAACTGATAAAATGTATTTTACGTTGCGGCCCACCTGGTCCAGCTACGCTGTCCTCGGACGGCGGTTCTCTGCTGGCCTGGATGCGTTCAATGATGTTGGACAGCTTGATGTTTCTCTGAGCGGCAGGATAGTCTTCAAACACAGTGCGACACTCTGGGCACGAATATCTCTGCATGTTGGCGCCCTGGTTCTCCCACACTTTGAGCAGGCAGGCGTGGCAGAAGTTGTGGCCGCAGGTCAGCAGCCGTGGGTCTTTATAAACGTCCAAACACACGGCGCAGCTCAGCTCGGCCTCCAGGTCTTCAGCTACAGCCGACATCTTCTTCCTCGCTCTGTCTGGAGAGAAGCGCACACCTTTAGATAAAGATGCTCAAGTGCTACGTATGAGTTACAGCCCCCCATCTCAGATGAGGTTTTTCCTGCTTTAAAGGAACACTTCAGCCTATTCTCTGTATTTTATAGTCACTTGTGTAAGAATATTGCTGGTGCATTGACTGGTTTAGAAATAAAGGTTCTGTTCAGGTACATTTTTGTTCGTCAAGGTACAAACAGTGTAAATGTTCCCTCAAAGGTCCAACAGTGGTTTTAAGGTCTGATTGTGATCCTTAAATAAGTTTTTCCAGGTGAAAAGTTCGTATTTGTACCTTTTCATAACCGAATGTTTTAAACAGAACAGTAAAATAAAAGCCTGGAGACGAGACGGGGTGTGTGGAGTCAGTACAGCTTAGAACATATCATTTCAGTGGATTATGGTTCAGTTATGTTCCCTGACTAAAGGTACTGAGATGGACCCTTGAGGGAACCACCCTAGTGACAGGAGTTTAGTGACAGTTTAGTACCTTATTTCTGAGAGTGTACAGACGCTGACGTTCTTTATGAGGACCACAAGCTGGTCGCCACAATGTAAATCATTCAATTTTAAGGTGAAGACATGTTTTCATGTAAGGAAAAGGTTAAAGTGAGGGTCAGGGTTAGGCCTAGGCTAGCAGTAATTATGGTTAAGGTTTGGGTAGGTCCGCAGGAAATGGATGGTGGTCTATGTAATGTCCCTGCAATTCACAGAAGCAAACATGTGTGTGTGTTTTTGTTTTTTTAAATTTTGACATCGCTTTTGGATGGATTTCACATGGTGTGGGTGATATGAACTCAAATTCATATCACAGTATTTTCTACTACTCGGATGATAACAATATCACAAAAGTAAACTAATTTATAATAGTAACAATAACAACAATAACAAAACAATACAATAATGATTAGGATTAATAAGGATTAAATATATGTTGAAAACATACATTTTTTATACCAAAAAACAAGCGTAAATATGGCAATTGTTCAAACAATGTCATAGAATGTCATGTACACAAATATTTATATAAAAACAGCACTTTTTCATCCAGATTAATTGGCCATGACCTTGAGAAAGGTCAGAAGCATCAGACTTTTTTTGATAAATTCATTTTTTCCATAAATTCAAATAATGAGCTGTGATGTGTTTACTTCATCTCTGTGCAGCCGCCATAGATTAGCTAGTTGCTAGTTTTTATGTGCTGTTGATGATGATAAAATAGTGGTAAATGTGAAAAAACATTTCTTTTAAGAAAAGTCTTCTTTTGAGGCCTCACAACACCCTGCATGTCCCACTAAATTAAAAAGGCCAAAATCTTCTCAAAACTATCATAAAACAGCGTCTCAGTCATCAGGCAGTGAATTCACAACCATTTCCTGTAGGAACTTTCTGTGAGGGAGCTTTTAGAGGTGGACGTCTGGTTCCTATCACCACCACTGTGAACAGTTCTGACTCGGTAAGTTTCTCTAGAACAGAGCGTTTCATACCAAACCACTCTGAACGAGTCTGTTTACATCTTAACCACTTAATTACGCAGACAATTCTCAAAATAGGTGGAATTCCCCTTTAAGTATGAGAAGCTGAAGCCCCGCCCCTCCTTTTAAACAACAAAAGCTAATGAGAGAAACCTTTGTCAGCCTTTAAAGGCTGATTGTAGAAGCTTTACAGTGTTATTGTGATCTTACCTCCTTCACCAGTGAAGTGTGTCAGACTCCTCTGGGCAGTGCAGGGCTGAAGTGGTGAGTGAGAATAAGTGGACATATAGTGCAACACTAATTTTGTAACAGTGGTTTGGCAACTGCACTTAAAAGGAAGAGATAATATCCTCTCTATACCATATATAGTCACGGGTGAGGGTTAGACACTCGCCTCAACAGTCTGTGGGCCAAGGAAGACAAGCTACTTGGGCTTTACATACATGCAACATGCTAGCTTGTTATCTATATTACAAATAAACAACAATGTGCTGGCATTTCCAGTGCAATATAGAAATGCAATATACATGTCTGTTGTAAAAAGTGCCACATGCACATAAAACTGAACTAGAATTCCATTCTAGACATTAAAAAGTCAGAGACTCTTCAATCATAAGCTCCATAAGCTCATTCCAATTTGCACTACTGTTTATATTTGCACTATTTATACCCACAGACTTTAATCTGTATGTGCCTTATGGCACTTTAGTGTTAATTTCAGGACCTTCTTATAGTTAGATTATTTATATTATTATTATTTTTCTATTTTTTCTTTTTATTATTCTATTTTTCTACAATTAGTGTTTATTTTGTTTATGATTAGTGTTTAGTGTTTACACCATGGGGTCTGAGAGTAACGCACTTTCAGTACTCTGTATGTCCTGTACATATTGTAGTATTGACAATAAAGCTGACTTGACTTGACTTGATTATTCTGTTTCCAGTCAAAACAGCCATTTAATATAAGTTATTCATGAACAGCTCAACAACCAAATCTACTCTCAGCTGTCTGAGTGTCAGTGAGTCTCTCTTCTCCTTTATTCCAGCTTCCATTCTTTTCAGGAGACTCACTTTCAGTTCCTCAAAGAATCTGCAGACACACCTCCAAAGTTCAGTCTTAGAAGCTGGTTGATCGTTTTCTGAAGTAATCAAACACATTCAGTGGTGTTGAGGTCTGGACTCTGGGGTGGTCAGTCCATCGTTCAGCTTCTTTGTTTGATGTGTCCGTCTCCTTTTCTCAGTGAGGTTCTTCTTGATCAGCTACACATCCTTTCAGACCCACAGCGCTGAGTCGTCTTCTCACAGTGGAAGGATGGACAGAAACACCTGTGGATGTTTTCAGATCTGAAGCAGCTTGATTTTCTCCTCTCTCTCAGAGATGAAAGCTTTAAGTGCTGTTTATCTGATGGGGGCAGTTTTGGGGTCGACCAGGTCTTCCAGGTGGTTCTCAGGAGCCCCATTTTCTCTGTAGCTTTTAATGATTTCAGTTATTTTGTTTTTTTTCACTTAGTGTGTCCTTTGATTTTCTCTTTTCTTATGCAAGAGGATTATTTTATGTTTAATCTATGAATAACTTGTATTTAATGGCCATTATGACTGCAAATAAAATGGGCGAAAGGTGGTCTCTGACTTTCACCCAGTATATATATATATATATATATATATATATATATATGTATATACATATGTGCATGTGTGTGTGTCTGTGTGTATGTGTGTGTGTGTTACCGAAAAGACTTAAGCTGAACTGTACTTAGATTTGTATGTATTGTAAAAGATGCTGTAACGCGTAATCGAGCTGAACTACATTTCCCATGAACACTTTCGTCAGTTTGCAGCAGATTCGAACGCTTATCGGCAAGTGCGTTTCACTCCAACACCACGTGGCTGCTCTGCTGTGGTGGCTAACTGACAGTTCATCAAGTTTTTCAAGTATGTGAACTAGATAAGCAGAACGCGGAGTAGAACAAGTTTTCGGCTGCAGTTTGTCAGGATGACGGGCTAATACAGCCTAAACCGAGATAGCTAAGGTAGCTTAGCTTAGCTGGTTGTATTACTAGCTGGTCAGCGTCAATCAGATCCGCACGACCATCTGGGGCAAGTTGGGCTGTTTATAAGGTAGTTTTCTCTCCGCTGGCGTTCAGGTGCTGCTGTGAAAGGTACAGGGTCTTTACACTGTTTAAATGGTGTTTCCTAATCAATAATGATGACCAGTAATACTGTTTATATTGAGAAAATGTTGCTGACCATTCAACACGAATTGCGCTCAAGTAGTTAAGTTAATGACCATCAGTAAAGGGTTATGAAGGACTGGGTGTCGGGTAACAGCAGAGTGCTAACAAAGCTGAACAGATCTTGTTCTAAATTTCCGTTCCACCTTAAATGTTGCAGCAGATAGCCTTACGAATATAACGTAAATGCTGCAGCATTTAAGGTGGAACGTAAAAATAAGAAGTCAGCTTAAGCCCAACGGACTGTTATTGGACATTTAAGACAGACAAGCTGTGTTCCCAAAAATTCCACCTGCACTCTTAAAAAGATGCTTTTCATGGGATCTTCAGTAAAAACAGTGGATCTGTATATTTGAATTAAATTGTTCTTTTCATGGAGAAATGGTTCTTTAGAGTGATGGAGAATGTGTTGTATATGTTTCTATATAGCATCAACAAAGAGTTCTGCTGCTGTTCTTACCATGTCAAGCTTGTAACAGTAGCAGAACCCTGTTTGGTGCTGTATAGAACCATTTAGAGCATATTCTCCATCAAAAAGAAGAACCATTTCACCATGCGATAAACCATTTAAAGATGCAACTGGTACTGAGTGTTCATGGTTCTATATGGAACCATTGTCTTTAGTGAAGAACCCTGGTTTTTAAGAGTGCACCTTCTGACATAACGGTGGATTTTGCTGGATCTGAGGGTTTGGAGAAACTGATAAACCTCAAAAGACTCCACAGAGTGACCTTACATTCAGTTTCAGTGTCACAGTTTGATTTGTCTTTATCTTAAAGATGAACCAGTTTTTCAAAATTACTGCATACTTATATATTTTAGATGTAAACAGAGCGGTTCAGAGTGGTTTGGTGTGAAACGCTCTGTTCTAGATAAACTTGCCAAGTCATAATTGTTCACAGTGGTGGTGATAGGAACCAGACGTCCACCTCTAAAAGCTCCCTCACAGAAAGTTCCTACATGAAATGCTTTTGAGACGATTTTGGTCCAAGACATTTTTTCAATTTCAGGCATTTAGACAGAAGGCCTAACAAAATAAAACTTTTTTTTAATTATTTTTATATTTACCACTATTTTCCCATCATCAACATTCCATATAAGCTCAGAAGACTTGTGTAGGTTCACTGGTGCTTTTGAATAGTAAATAAAATGTCTATATTTGTTTTGTTGTCATGGTAACCCGTGGTTCCTATCACCACCACTGTAAAGACATCAGATTTAGTAAGTGTCTCTGCAATGAACTATGCAGAAATTCTGAAAAATGTATGGAACTGTCCTCTGACAAGTTGTACCCAGATGTAAATTGTAGTTACAAGGTCAGAAATGGCCAAGATTGTGGTCAAGAATCATGCAGACCAGTCTTTGCATGTTAAACAGTGTGTGTCTGTTTTATTGCAGGATGTATTGCAGTTGTTTTTATCCATATCATTACTAACACTATAGTTGATAACAGTGTAGGGAAAATATACACTCCTTTTTTTTTAATCTGCACACAGGTGAGCTCCAACCCCAGGTGACCAATGGAGAACTACAGAAAAGCAGGTGTGGTGGAGCAGCCGTGCCCGTGTCCCTTCACTAACCTCCAGCCCAACACTCCTGAGGTCCGGGTGCGGGACGGCAGCAAGATCCGCAACCTCATGAAGTTCGCTTTAGGCCGCATGGAGGGAAAGGCGCCTGTGGAAAGTGCCGGAACTCCAGAGGAACCAGAAACAAGTGCTCCAGCCTCTGGAGAAAGCTTGTGTAGGCAGATCGTGTTCACAGGAGTGGGTCCGAGCGTGGCGAAGACCATCACCTGCGTGGAGATCCTGAAGAGGCGCTGTCCGAGGCCTTCACCAGTGCACCCGGCTGCTCTACCGGACGGTGCAGGAGAAGTGGGAGCCGCTGGAGCCGGGGGCCGGCCTGGACAGCCTCACTGTCAGCAGGAACGTGCCTGGAATTTGGGTTCTGCTCTCCAGAGACCCACTGGACTCGAACCAGCCTGGCTACCAAGCGCCGGGCAGCTTTGATGCTCTTTGGGCTCAGGCTGTTAAAGAGGAGTCTCAGGGCCAGAGGCATCAACAGAGGAGGAAAAGAGGAGGAGGAGGAGGAGGATGGAGTGGAGGTCCTGGAGGTGGTGGTGGTAGAGGAAAAGGCCCCAGGAAGCAGATGGGACGTCCCAAAGAAGGTCGAAAAACTCCTGGGCAGGCAGGAGGAGGACAAGAGTGAGGACGGTGGTCTTTTCTGTGGGATGGCATTTGGATGGGTGGGGGGGGTATCTTTTCTTACCAACACTGTGAGTGTGGAGATGCTCTATAACTGTGTGAAGGTCATATACAGAAATAGAACAGAGGTTCTCAACCCAAGTTCTAGAGTTCTTTTCAGATGTTTCCTGCTCAAGCTCACTTAAGGTTGGATTCACAAAAGATTTTCGAAGAACAAACGTATTAAAGGTCTTGAGACAAATACTGAGCAAATCATAAGGAATGTTCTTGAATGCAAAGAACACATGTGCCTCTCTGCCATGAATAAATTTAAAAAGTACTATAAAACAGTGTCTCAGTCATCAGGCAGTGAATTCATAACCATTTCATGTAGGAACTTTCTGTGAGGGAGCTTTTAGAGGTGGACGTCTGGTTCCTATCACCACCACTGTGAACAGTTCTGACTCAGTAAGTTTCTCTAGAACAGAGCGTTTCACACCAAACCACTCTGAATGACTCTGTTTACGTCTTTATAAATCGATCAGGCATAACATTCTGACCACCTCCTTGTTTCTACGCTCATTGTCCATTTTATCAGCTCCACTTACTATATAGGTGCACTTTGTAGTTCTACAGTTACAGACTGTAGTCCATCTGTTTCTCTGATACTTTGTTAGCCCCCTTTTACCCTGTTCTTCAGTGGTCAGGACCCCCATGGACCCTCACAGAGCAGGTACTATTTGGGTGGTGGATCATTCTCAGCACTGCAGTAACACTGACGTGGTGGTGGTGTGTTAGTGTGTGTTGCGCTGGTCTGAGTGGATCAGACTCAGCAGTGCTGCTGATAAAATGGACAATGAGTGTAGAAACAAGGAGGTGGTCATAATGTTATGCCTGAATGTGTTTATTCTTACATAGATTAATAACTTTCTAATTAAGGTATTAGTGGAAAAATTGAATAACTAAACATGATTTTTGGAAGAATAACATTTTGTCTGGATCATCTTGAACTACATCTTAGGTCTGTATTTATGGACAAAAGCTCAGAAATAAGAATTTATTTCTTAAACTGCCGAGTGTGTTTACATGCACTAAATAATCCAATAACTGCAGAAAAACAGATTTTGTCAGTAATCCGATCAATACATTAATGTGCTCTTGGGTAATCTGATAATGGGGAAACTCCAGGTATACATGAGTCAGAAAGTAATCAGATTTCTGCTTTACAACCAGCCAATAAACTCGCAGAAGAAGACGTGACTTTACTCTGATCTAAGAAATCAGTGTGCTGCTTACATGACCATTTGAATAATCAGATAGCTGCAGAATCCAATTATGATGGGAGTATTGAGTGCATGTAAACACTCAGTGTTGTGAGCTCATTAATTATTCCCAGCAGTGCTGGAGAGTTAGAGCAGGACACTGATGTTACTACACTCAAAATAAAGAGTTGAAGCAGAAAGGAGCAGTGTTGAAGTGTCATAGCAGAACCACTATTGGTTCCCTAAAGAACCGTTCAGTGAATGATTCTTTGAAGAAATATTTTTGTAAATGAGATGTGTGTAGATGAGTGCAGAGGGCCTTTTTAAGGTATAAAGAGCCTCCACATAAAGTAACGCTTCTATATTAGCTACAATTTTACATAGAACCGTACATCTAAAGCGAGAACGCGAGAGTTTAAGAACCTTTATCATCTGTAAGAGTGCAGGACTGGAGTCAGAAACAGTCAAATAGAAGATGGCATCTAATGAATGCGCTGAAAAGATTTTTTTTCAGGAATAAATGAAAAATTATTTTGCTGCTTTAAGCCTTTTGATACCTGATTGAAGTATTATTAATGTAAAGACACATAAAATGAGGTTGTGTGTATAATGGCTGTGTTTTTGTTTGAAATAAAACAGACAGGTGTCACTCATTGTATGATGTAGGGTTGTTTTTGCTGCAGCAGCAGGAGGAAAGATACGCTGGATTGGTGTAAATCTCGGATGATTCAGTTTGATTATGGCTCTTTAGGTAAGTATTCAATACATTAGGATTCAGTTCAGTTATTGTGGTGCATAATGTAACTAGGAACTGTTTACATAGCAGCAGAATATAGACAGTAAGAACTGCTGCTTTGTATTTGTTTTTAAATATTGTATTTTGACATATGTATTAGGGGTGGGATAATGTTTTGATACGGCAATATATTGTATCGCTTTCTTTTGTTATCAATACACTGGCGCCAAAAACCAAAAAACCAAAAAAAGGGACAAATGAAATAGAGACTCTGTGATTTGCAAGAACTGTGTCATTAAAATAAAGTACATGGGCAACACAACGAACATGCATAGCCACCTTCTTCATCATCCCGACCTGATTGTTGAGAAAACAGCTTACGTTGCCACAACTCGAAATCAGCCCACAATTAGTACAGTTTTAAAGCAAAACGTCTTTTTACGCCCTGAGGTCTACCAGTATTACTAAGGCCCAGTCCCATTTCTTATTCTTACCCCTACTCCTTGTTTTTGAGTGTTGCCCCTTGGAACTGAGTTACAGGGTAGTGGTTGAAATCTTCCTCTGAAATGGGACCCTCAAATAAAAAGAGCATCACTTCATTAACAGCTACCAGCGCTGCTCTGTAGGCGACCCTGCCAGTCTACAGTGACAGCAGAGGAGGGTAAAGTTCAGCTCCTCACTGCTGGGCTTTAGTTACATTTAGGGCATCATATGCCTTCAAAGAGGGGGCAATTATTTATTATTCGCCCTCCCCCTCCCCGGCAGTTCAGACACCTGAGGCGTCACAATGTAATTGCAGCACCTATTAAGGTGGAACAGGAAATTTAGCTAGCTACAGAGACATCAGTTACTACTATCGACTTTATATGCTTGTTATGAAGAAAAAGACCATAATATATTAAAACGGCGTTAAACCAAAATAATCCAATGATTGTCGTAATTCTATAACAGAGAAAATTCTCACATTTGTGGGTTTCTTTGCTCATCGGGACACCCTACCCCTAGGTGTGAACATGCAAAACGGAGGGGTAAGGGCTAAGTGGTAGGGGCAAGGGATGAAATGGGACTGGGCCTAAGTCTATCACTGGGTTTGTTTGCAAGGACCTTCGCCCGTATAATGCAGTCAAAAATAAAGGTTTTCGCCTAATGCTAAATGCTAAAGAGGCATGAAGCTAATCTATGCGCTTTGTTATACATTGTTTCATATTGGTTGTCATATTCTGTGAAACTGGCACTAATAAATACATAATTCCTGCTGTTTTCCTATTTAGTAGTATTTTATTTGCTTCGGTTACACAGATATCGTGATGTATCGTAGAGGACTGTCTTGCAATATATCGAGTATCACAGAATCGCAGTATCGTAATATCATCATTATCGTGGCTAAAGTATTGTGATAATATTGTATCATTGAGATGCCGTGTGATTCTATCCCCTAATATATGTTATTACATTATAAACATGTTTATTATGATTGAATCTGACAAACTACCAAACCTGTTCAGGAGGATGGTCGTCTTCAGTTGGAGTCGTGATGCATTTGTGTGCTTTTTTTTACACTCTTAATTCCTCTTTACATTAAAGCTTTACAGCTTATTGAAAGTCTACTTTACTTTGTTTAATCCAGCTGTTGATACCGAGACATGCTCATCAGTTATTGAGCCCCTTTTAAATTCAATCCGGTCTTTCAAGGCTGAGTGGGAAACTCCACAAACTTTTTAAAATTTTTACATTTTTCAGTCATGAATTATGAGATGTCATTCAGAGTGGTTTGGTGTGAAATGGTTCAGATGTCTTTACAGTGGTGGTGATAGGAACCAGGGGTCGCCATGACTACAACACAAATATAGACATTTTATTTACTGTCCAGAACCACCAGTGAACGTACACGAGTCTTCTGAGTTTATATGGAATGTTGATGATGGAAAATAGTGGAAAATCTGAAAATAATACGTTTTCTTTGGCTCACAACTCCCTGCATGTGTCCCTCCACCATGAGTGGATAAAAACAGGTTTTAGACCAAAACATTTTACACTGTGTAGAATTTTAAAAAGTCAATTTTAGACCAAAATCTTCTCAAAACGATCATAAAACAGTGTCTCAGTCATCAGGCAGTGAATTCATAACCATTTACTGTAGGAACTTTCTGTGAGGGAGCTTTTAGAGGTGGACGTCTGGTTCCTATCACCACCACTGTGAACAGTTCTGACTCTGTGTGTTTCTCTAAAACTCTAATTCATCTTGACTCTGTAATTATGAGGAAATTTTGAGAAACCCCATTATAAAGGATGAAGATCTGTCGTTTGGTTTTGAGAGACTGTAAATGCAGCTGAGTTGCTTTCATGTCACCCGAATCACTTTGTCCTGAAGGTTCTGGTGTCCGCAGCATATTATGCAAAACTGCGTGAAAATTCTGAGGTTTGAATGTCAAATCTGTGGAAAGATCTTGTCACACTGGACGAGTCCGCAGTGCGATGATCCTCTCCAGCAGGTAAGGACTTTTCTTCTTTCGGTGTGAAAGTGTTTCTAATTAAGACACATTCTATGAACTTTGACTAGTGCAGTTTCAAATAGGTTACAACTAATGAGTCAGTTCAATGATTAAAGGGGAACTCCACCAACTTTTCAAAACTTATGCATAATTAACTGGTTAAGATGTAAACAGAGCGGTTCAGAGTGGTTTGGTGTGAAACGCTCTGTTCTAGAGACACTTACCAAGTCAGAATTGTTCACAGTGGTGGTGATAGGAACCAGACGTCCACCTCTAAAAGCTCCCTCACTGAAAGTTCCTACATGAAATGGTTATGAATTCACTGCCTGATGACTGAGACACTGTTTTATGATCGTTTTGAGAAGATTTTGGTCTAAAATTGACTTTTTAAAATTCTACACAGTGTAAAATGTTTTGGTCTAAAACCTGTTTTTATCCACTCATGGTGGAGGGACACATGCAGGGAGTTGTGAGCCAAAGAAAACGTATTATTTTCAGATTTTCCACTATTTTCCATCATCAACATTCCATATAAACTCAGAAGACTCGTGTACGTTCACTGGTGGTTCTGGACAGTAAATAAAATGTCTATATTTGTGTTGTAGTCATGGCGACCCCTGGTTCCTATCACCACCACTGTAATGACATCTGAACCATTTCACACCAAACCACTCTGAATCACTCTGTTTACATTTTAACCACTGAATTATACAAAAAAAGTTTAACCATTTGGTGGAATTCCCCTTTAATTCTCTTCTAAGGCTGTTTTTAAATACGTTTAGTGTTGATTCTATTCATTTTAAGTTAAATGTAAAATTATGGTTGAATAATGTTCCCCAGCCCTGCAGCTGGAAATCTGCTTTTTAATTTATCTTACAACTGCCTTCATTAGCCCTTGATTAGCTGAATAAGGTGTCAGATTTGGATCAGAGGTGAGGCAGGAGGAGGGCTGGTGACCAC